TTAAATAAGTAAAGAGCTATGAAAAAAATAGACTGATGGGTTATGCATTTCTTGGAACGTCGGTTTCTTGAGTCTCATACTATTTTATTCATCTCTGGCTAATAGGTACAAAATGGCATCTCTATCGCAACCTATTACCTAGGAATGCGCCATAGGAATGAGACGCATTTCTCGATCAGTAATGGGTTGCGATGGAGAAGCCATTTTGCATCTCCCAGCCAGAGATGAATGAAATAGTATGGGAAGTAATAAAATTCACGATAAGATGATCTCTGGAAATGTAACGAGATTCTTTATATTAAATAAGTCAATATGGAGCAGGTGCATTCACTGGGAGATGAACCGAGTTTTCAGTTTTTGCATCGAAGAACTACTGCCCGATAAATTTTGAGATATTATACGGACATCAGATCATTTCCTTCAAGTAAGATCAAGCTGTTTCTTGATCATTGCCGTCACAGGCGCGCTGGAAATTAAGATCAAGAAGAAATTTGGCATCAATGTCATTTTTTACAATGCAAGCGGGAGCGAGTGGTAGTCGGTATACGTGCGGTGAGCCACTCAGTACGTCTGCAGTCATTCAATGCATGTTGTATACGGCAGTCGTCGCGACTTCCGTTCCTATATGAACTTTTGGTGCTTTTGTGTGTGTGTTCATTCGACAAGATGGTTTTGATCTAATCGGTCGTGGTGCTAAATCGATCGTTTTCGGTCGTGGTGCTAAATCGATCGTTTGCAAGTCGTCTGTAACCAAGGAAGTGGTGAGAATCGAATGTCATTTAGGCTTGTTTTTACGAAAACGAATGAATCAATTATTTGCGCAAAATTTGATACAAATAATTAACGCAATTGTTTATTCAAAGAAAATAACAATTTTTGAACATTTATTCTTGAATGTTACTCGTTGTAAGGAACTCGCACCGTAACACAGCATTGCCCTCAATAATAATTACTGATCATCCCCATAACTGTAATTTTTGTTCTCCTATTATGAAATTTAAAGTACAACTAAACTTCTTAATCTAAAATTTATTTTCATTAACAAACTGAAATTCCTATTTAAAATATGCAATCTAACTTCACCTACCTTTTCTCCATGTTTCTTGATCCAACTCTTAAAAATTAAATTGCATTCTCATGTGATATTCCAACACAATATATTTCATTGACACGCACCCGGTCAATCTCAATATATTTCAGTGCCAGGCTTCAATCACATAAAGAAACTTTCACAAATGTACAATAGTTAAATCAATGCTTCATTCGTGCGAGACCCGCTCGATTTATGTGTATAAATTCTTTTCATCTGAAAACATCGGTGACACAATTCTTTGCATGATAGCTATAGGTTGGTGCAAAATTTCGACAGCCTGGCACTAGATTCAGACTGAACACTTGAACAAACAGTCGTGACATGCAGTCTTCGTGATTTGGTGTACGTTTCTACAAAAGCCAGTGAAATTTAGGAGAAAAATTTATAAATTCTGTAAGAAAAGTGTATAATTTCTATAAAATAGTTTATAAATTCTATAACAAAGTTTATAAATTCAATAAGAAAAGTTTATAAATTGTATGAAAAAGTTTACAAATTCCATAAGAAAAGTTTATAAATGCTCTAAATAAGTTTATAAATTCTATAAAAAATGTAAAAATTCTATAATAAAAGTTTATAAATTATATAAAAAAGTTTATAAATTCTATAAAAATGTTTAAAAATTCTATAAAAAAGTTTATAAATTTATAAAAAACTTTATAAATTCTATGAAAAAGTTGGCAAATTCTATTAAAAGGTTTATAAATTCAATAAAAAGTTGATAAATTCTATGAAAAGTTTCTTTTTTCATTAAAAAAGTATCTAAATTCTATAAAAGTTTATAAATTCCATTAAAAGTTTATAAATTTTTTTTGTTAGTGTGAAACCTTGTAGGTGAGGCAACAACGACCATGAATGAATAAGTAAGCTGATAAATTCGTCTAGTGGTATAATAGCAAAAAATTTAAATTTTAATTAAAAAATTTGAGAAGTGTAGTTGTAGGATGTCACTGATCCCACATACGGTCACCTCATGGTTGAACTATATAAGGTTGACCCACGAGAAGTTCCGTCTTTCAGTTCAGCTTTGTTGTTGCGTCACTGAGATCGAGAAACGTAAACAAACCCGTCATTNTTACAATCGGTGCAATCCATTCCTTACAATCGGTGCAATCCATTTCTTACAATCCCTGCAATCCATTCCTTACAATCGGTGCAATCCATTCCTTACAATCGGTGCAATCCATTCCTTACAATCGGTGCAATCCATTTCTTACAATCCCTGCAATCCATTCCTTACAATCGGTGCAATCCATTCCTTACAATCGGTGCAATCCATTCCTTACAATCGGTGCAATCCATTCCTTACAATCGGTGCAATCCTTTCATCAATTGCTCCTCACGCTGCTTCTCTCACGCCACTCATTGAGAATCAAAATCTTCATCCTAATCACCTCAGTCATCACCTCAATAATCAACCAAATCACCTCAATAATCATGTTCACCATCACCTCCACCATCACCCGAATCACCTTCACCATCACCTCCACCATCACCCGAATCACCTTCACCATCACCTCCACCATCACCCGAATCACCTCCACCATCACCCGAATCACCTCCACCATCACCCGACTGTCCGCTTTCCCAAAGATTTTAAACTTAATTTCGTTCACATCAGGGATGTTACTAGGACAGGGGGCTACGCTCATAAGATGTACAGCATCGGAGCGAACGTTCAATTTCAGAAACAGCCAACAACTGAATAACAACAAACACATGAACTATTAAATCTTCATCATAGCTTCAACAACATAATCAGGCTTCGCATTTTCGCAATTCGTCAGCATTTTTTGTGAAAAAAATTTATGAAGAAACATTAAATTATTCTGCTTGCTTTTGTTCGTAAAATCTGGTCTAAAGATGGCTAAACACATAAATCATAATCATTTGAACCAAAATGTGATCGACTATTCTTTACAAACACACAATTACACTCTAGTTCAGCACACACAGACACACACACAAGTCTGTTTGCTGTCCAGATGTGGTTGGCTTTTTTGCATAAGGCAGATGACTGAAATATTTTCCTCCCTTATAAGTGCAGTGATAGCATATGAGGATGTGCATTCATGATACGATAGGTATTATAAGTATTTAAAGGACGTTTTACGTTAACAAAAGGTTTTCAGTACACGCGGCCATAGAACCTAGACACATTTTCTGCATACTAAATGAGTATAGTAAGTTTCGAAATGTAATTTTTTATAAAACCTACCAATATTAGTTAAAATCAAACCAACCTCAATTAAAAAAAGACCTGGCCAGACGAATTCCGTCTAGCTAAGCAAAGTCTGACGATGTACGAAATGCGAATAAAAGGTCCCCTATTAAAAATCTACTCCGAATCATTTTCTTCTAATCGCATGTGAAGCCTCGGCTTCCAGTAGGTCGAAACATCGAATGGATCAACAAAACTGGAATTTCAACCTAATTTGCATAGGGTTAGTTCGGAGAACACTCTTGTCTTGGGTAGTTTTTGCTGTAAAAATAAGAAAAGTTATTCATGAGATTTCAGAAGTCTTATTTTTGCTGTAAAAACTCGCTTGAACTGACCGGGCAGCGAGACGTGTTCCATGAATAGCTTCACTTGCCTGCTCTCGATCTCCAATATGCTGCTACTGACTGTCCTTAGAGAAAAATATTTGTGTTGGAAGCCATGTTTGAAACTGCACCGAAATTTCCTTCAGATGTGAAACGTATGATGAACTGCAACCCAAAAATGGGTTGATACGGAGATGTAAATATGTAAAATATTTTAAGCTTCATAACTTAATGTATTTTTTTTAATACTGGAATTTTCATTAACCTTTACAATTTAATTGCCAGTTGAAAACTAACTTGCAGGCTTCTAAAACCTAGGCTCGTTTTTTGCCGGAACATTTCCGCATATATATATAGCGTCTCTTGTTTTCTGCTTATATTTTTTTAATTTTATGTCAGGGTGATCAGTGACGATACAAAAAACCTTGAACTTTCTTCACATTATGCAGTTTTTTATTTAGTTATGAACTGAACGAATAATTTTTCATTATTTTTCATCACACAAAAATAGACGTTAAATTTCACTTCATTTTCGATTCATTTTTAATCTTATTCTCATCTTCTTGCAGATTTTACTGAGTTTGTGTTTTAATGTATTTAATTTGGTTTCCGAATAAATAAATAATAAATAAATAAATAAATAAATGTTTTTGCACACGTTTATTGGATGAACTAGTGGAGTTTAATTTTCCTGCTAGAATTATTCAGATAACTTAATTGAGAAATTATGCAATCAATCCTGAAATGAAAGAATTTATTGATTTGGGCATGGCGAGTTGAAACCGATCTCAGGAAAAGAACTCAACGTATTTTTAATACAGCGTACGAAATGAATGCAAATACTCGGCCGAGATTCATGAACCATATACTCAAAATATATTTCAATATTGTAGATATGATAAAGTAAAAGATTTATTTGCGGACGTCATAAAGAAGTAGAAAGACAAAAAGGAAATGACGTTATGACCATGGCGTGAGGTTTTTCATGGAAAAAACGACGAAAAATAAAAAAAGAGTAATACAAAACTGGATAAACGTCGTTTATGGTCATCGTTTTAACGAGGAAAAAAAAAGAGGTTGCGACACTGGTCACGAATCGCCGGCTTTATTTTTGCTTCATTTCGGTGGAAAATAACCAGAAAANCTTCACGCCATTGGCAACTGCCTTCCACCTAACTTCCCACCACTGGAAACTGCCTTCCACCTAACTTCCCGCCACTGGCAACTGCCTTCCACCGAACTTCACGCCATTGGCAACTGCCTTCCACCTAACTTCCCACCACTGGAAACTGCCTTCCACCTAACTTCCCGCCACTGCCAACTGGCTTTCATCTAAATTTACTCACATGAAAAAGGTCTCGCCATGCGGATGAGTAAGAAGCGATGGGTGATGTTGCTGATGGTGTACATCGTCTACCTGCTGGTGGGGGCCTATGTGTTCCAGGTCCTGGAAGCGCCCTCCTCAATAGAAGAGAAGCTGAAGAAGATCATGGCAGTGCAGCAACTGCAGCTCCAGTCTTCTGGTGGGTGTTGGTATGAAGATAAATTTTGCCCAGTAATCCATACAAAAATATTTATTTGTACTGTAAATCTCTATAGCCCAACAGTTTTTTTCGTCAACGTATTGCATCCTCAATGTTGCTGTAGGTAGTAAACCAATTTCAAAATCGAAATTAAATTATCGAAGTTAGTTTATTCAATCCTAATAATTTTAAATTAGCACTCTACTACTCATCCCGTTTATGATTACGTGATGCTGGTGAGTACTCGTATTTATGCTCTCAAGTGCCCTGGCAGGGATGTGATTTGCCCCACTTGGAACATACGCCCCCACTCAGGGTGACCGCCTCCAGCCGAGGTGACTGCCCCTATCCTGACGGTTAAATCCCGCCGCCAGGACAAGAGGAGTAGAGTACAAATCCGGTCCAAATAGGGAGGGAACCTTTTAATCTAATTTAATTGCGTTTTTGTTGGTGTGGGCGCATGGTGAAAGGCAGTCAGTCAACACGCAACCCGCAATTGTCCTGCGCCCAATTAATTCTGGCCTCCGATGTGCCTCGATTGATGGTAATCATTGCCTGCACGAACGCGACCTGACCATACAAATTTCATGGGCAGCTAAATGCAAGTGGATTAAGTGATCTTATTTGATTGAAACTGAGAGGCAATACAATTTTTAGTCGAATTTACCTAGGCGATTGATAATTGTTAATTTTACCTAGTATAATGATAAAATATATACATACTCATTGATAAGACATCACTGAGAACCTTCTTCAAGCAATGATATGTGTAATTTCTAACATGAGTGAAATGATACGTAAGTTCAAGTTTAATAATTGTATGCTTTACTTTTTACTAAAAATTGTATGCTTACTTAACGATGATTGAAAATATATCTATCTATGTTTATAGTTTTGAAAAAGATAGTCCGTGGCATCGAAATCTACACGAAAAATATCGTAGTTTAATAGATTAATTTAAATTGTTCTCACATCTAAATCCGTTACAGTGAAATGTTGAACACTGACAAAAAAAAAATGATTACATGTTTTCATAAATACTCGTACATAATGGCAGCGAAATTTTCAACGAAACGATGGGATGCCTCGGTCTTTAAAGGATAATCAATATAAAATATTCCGCGAAGGGAAAGTTTATCCGTATAATGAGTAAAAGTTTCGAATATTCAATGTGAAAAATTACTATTTATATTCAGGGTGAAAATTTTCTATTCGTTGTTAAAAGTGGAATTATGGTATACGGCACTTACTTAGGTTCCTACTATCAAATAAATCTGGGTCTCTTTGCCATACTCCCCATATAACACTGCTACAGCAAACAGGTGGTGCTACTCAGTTATAAGCTGCATGTGGCCTCCAAATAAATCTTCATCCCTATCCTTCAAAAGCCGCTGCTCTAGTTGTTAGGCGGCACGGCGCTAAGTTGGGTTCCAGGTAACAGTGAAATAAACGTTCCCACATCAATGTTACCACATAAATATTAACACATCCAATGTTACCACGTCAATGTTACCACATCAATGTTACCATATAAATGTTATAACATTCAATGGCACCACATCAATGTTAATCAATGTTACCACATAAATGTTATCACATCCAATGTTACCACGTCCATGTTACCACATCCAATGCTACCACATCCAATGTTACCACATCTAATGTTACCACATCCAATGCTACCACATCCAATGTTACCACATCCAATGTTACCACATCCAATGTTAACACAGCCAATGTTACCACATCCAATGTTACCACATCCAATGTTACCACATCCAATGTTACCACATCCAATGTTACCACACCCAATGTTACCACATCCAATACCTCGTGTCGGACGAAAACCTCACGGATGAGAACCTTGGTTGGAACTGGGACTTCTGGAACGCCTTCTTCTTCTCATTCATCACCATTACCACCATAGGTGAGTGACGTCATACTTAAGTGAGTGACGTCCTCATGGCAATAGGCGCTTGTCACAATGCATGCTTCTCTTGAAAAACTATAGGTGAGTGATGTCATGCTTCTTCCTCCTGACGATAGGCGCTTGTCACAATTTTTCTCTTCCAAAGCCATGGGCGAGTGACGTCATTCTTCTGCTTCATACATGCTTGTCGTGATGCTTCACACTCATGTCGCTGTTATTCTTAGCGCGCCGAAATTCGCGCACCCTAATAAGGGTCGGCTCAATAGACGGAAGGTGGCCTAAGAGCGGTAGGTACAATAAGGAGAGAAGTTCGAAATGGCTGCAACCTTCCGAAACTGTCCCAAAAATAAGAAATGAGAAGAATCCTGGTGAAGGGAAGGCTGGAGCAGAATTGTTGGGTGGCTTGAAAATATAATAACAGCGCTCGGAACAGGCTGTGCTTTAAGCATTCCAACCAAAAAGCGAAGGCAGAGAGCAGCAGCTTCTGCACAATCTCCATAGCTGCTTCATTAACGTTACGCTTCTCCATTACCAAATATTTGCATGCGCTCTACTGCGCTCCACCACTCCTCTTCATAATTTGCTCGCTTGAACTAAAAAATTTCTCATTTATTAAATCAAGTAGTTTAAAAATTTTATCATGAATTGTTTGCTAATTCTAGCTTATCAAGGAATGGACTTCAATCCCCTTAGGTTACGGCCACCTGTCGCCACGTACTACATTCGGGCAGCAGTTCTGCATCTTGTATTCATTGTTCGGCATCCCACTGAACACAATGGTGTTCGTTACACTTGCAGGCTTCTACTCTGATTTTGTGAGTAATTCTTCCGCTTTTTTATCCATTGTTCGGCATCCCACTAAACACAATGGTGTTCGTCACACTTGCTGGCTTCTACTTTCACGAGTACCGCATCAGCTATTACTTAAGCAGAATTGTACGTAAGCAAATAAATGAATATTAGTACGCTAGGGTCACTATCGCAAATAATTAACTAGCAACATTCAAGTAATCATTGTATCTTCGCAAACTAAATTATTTATAATTTTTTAACTATAGAAGTTATATGATGGACATCACTCAGATTGTCATTTCACTGGCATCCATGTTATAATGACAAATGAAATATTTCCTGATTTGTATAACACTAAGCCTGATTATTTCTTTATATTCGATTCAAAATTTTGTTCCTGGGTTATGCCTAATACGGGAGTCAAACAGATTCTACATGAAACGAGATTGCATGTCTAGTTGAGTGGTACCTCAACGATTCACCAGGTACAAATTGATATAGGCGTGCCTTATGTATTGTTAAGGGACCACTCAAATATTTATACGACAAATGTCGACATAATCCGATCGCAAGGAGCCGGTAATTTGGCACCCGACAATTTATCCGGTATATATTCACATAATACGATGATCAGAAGAAACTAATGGTTTGCTATTCATTATCGGCACGTGCTTACACAACCTATAATCATCAGGGAATGCTTATGGGCTACCCAACTATTTACCCGACATCCGGATTTATAATATGATCCTCAGTGCCTATTAGGGAGCGACTCAAAAAATGTTCACCTCACATTTCGTCGCTCAGGGCCTTTTTTTCCACTAACAGTAAACTTGTTAATTTATTTGCAGGTGTTGACGAGAGAAGATCGAGAGGGTGGCAACGGAAGAACCGCGGTCCAGGTGGTGAGTCGGGCGCTGGTGTATCTCATGCCGGGACTGATTTTATTCCTGATCGTGCCAGCCGTTATCGTGATGGAGGTTGAGGGATGGACATTCCTTCAGAGCTTCTACTTCGCCTTCATCTCCCTCACCACCATCGGATATGGCGACTTCGTGGCGGGTGTTTATTATTTTATGATACATAACATACGACTTGGTCCATGGCCGCTATCGTTGCCGTTTTCCAATTATTATTTTATGCCACGAATCGAATATTGAGCCTCATGGGCCCTAGCTGTAAGCGCGAGCATCAATTTCTTGTGGTACAGAGTGAATGCATCAACAACCACAATGATTCAAGCGAACTATCAACAATCTACTATGTTATGTAACTGAAGTATCTTGATTTGTTTTTGCACGTTCAGTGAAAGAAGTGAGAAAGTTTATGCCACAAAGAGGTAATTAAATTGACCTTCAATTTTAAAAAGATTCGTTCAACCAGAAGAACCAATCGCTAGCGAAGCTCGGCCCATACAAATCTGGACAAACATTCTCGATAATGGGTCAATTCATCGTTATGCAATAACACTAGTAACTTGAATAATGTAGGCACTCTTCGCCAAGAAAAGTAACGGATCAATTCAAAAACTGACATCAGTAAAGCTTTAACTTTTCAATGCAATAACTTCTCATCGTATTCTGACATCCTCATCATACATGGAAAATGAAATGTCAGTTATATTTCAATCATTTAATTCTTACATCAAACTACAAGCAGGTTTTAGAGGGCATTTTTCCGGGGCTAATTTCACGTGACCATTTGAGTAACGTTTCCAACTTGTCTTGAATGTCGGTGCTTGTAAAATATTCTGAACCTTTTTATATGAATACATTAGCCAGTCATATTGAGATATGGCCTGTAATAATTCATCATTACCTATAAATAATTTTTTATATGATTTCTCGAGCTCAAAAATGCGCTTTATGAGTTGAACGTGACACTTGGTGATGGAATTGTTGTCTTACACACACAATTGTTGTCGCCAGGGGGACAAGGCTACACCGGGTACAGAGACTTCCTATACAAAGGCTACATTATGTTGTGGACCATGTTTGGCTTGTCTTACCTCATAATGATCATCACATTCCTCGTAGATGCTCTCAAGTCTGATCCGGTGAGTGGTCGCACGGCTCTCAAGTCTGATCAGGTGAGTGGTCTCAGGGCTCTCAAGTCTGATCAGGTGAGTGGTCTCAGGGCTCTCAAGTCTGATCAGGTGGGTGGTCGCAGGGCTCTAATGCATGGACACGCGCAGGTCAGAGCGGTGGAAGAGCGGACAGCCCGGCTGCTGCTGAAGCGCACAGCTCGTCTGCAGGCGCTGGTGAACAGCTTTCTGGTGCATCATCACAGGCTGCACCAGAATTATACTCCGAAGAATTTGCCAGAGGAAAAGTTGGTAGGCAATGACACTGGTCAGGAAAACCCAAGCTTAGATGTTATAGACAACAGCAACGACGATCCAAAAATTGACGAAAATGTCGAATGCATCATGGTAAGTGACGAGGAAATTATCTCAGGACGATCGAGACGTTCTTCTGTCACTACATTGGCAGGGAGAAAGCCTTCCACCCGTTCTAGAGTTTCTCATCGGTCTGATGGAAGACGAAGTATAGTGTCGACCAAATCCAAAAAAAGCCGAAGCTCGAACATCGTGCATCCAACAACGCCAGAAGTACCGATGTCATACCTTGGAATGAAGAAACGTTCGACCATCGTTAATGCTATGGCAAAAATCATGCCCGGAGATTCAATGGAGCGACATTATCCCACGTACAATCATGGCTCCAGCATCATGCACTGCTGTAGTGGTGACATGTACCACGCTCACATTGACATCGACCATCACCACAGCGACATGCACACGTACGATAACTATAGCAAGGAGCTCTTGACACTAGCCGCACTCGTGGATAAAGTTGAGCGTCTTCTCGAGATGGTCAAAAGGAATGAACCCACGGACACCGACACCGACGAAATGAATTCTGAAGAAGGATGTGACCCGAAGACTGCCACGCCAAGCCCATCCACGAGTGAATCTACTGACATTCACGTTAAGGAAGTCCCTCCTATGAGCGAGGATATAGATATCGGTAAAGATAAAGAATTAGAAGACAATTCCTTACATTTTGAAACTGCAAACCTTTAATAGATCAATATGATAAATGGAATTTTTGTCTTATCATTACGGAACCTCGAGGTTCTTATCAAATGTTTTAATGTAAGCGTTATTGCATTTACTGATTTCCATTCCATATATTTTTGTTTATTTTTAATTAAGCATTGAAGCTACTTTACAAATGAATTTCCAGTCGAGTTGGACTTATTTCCTTGTACAGAAACGTATCGCTTTGGTTGCCAGACCAGTGGTTCCTTATTCTGAAGCAGACCTTATACGAGTAACTCCAAAAATATCGCATAAATTCCCATCGCCCATTACTTCAACACAAGAAATGATTATTTGAGGTGCGTTGCCTTTATTGTCATCAAATAAAATCACAAGCAGTTAAAATTAAAGGCCTCTTTGCCGAGCTTTCACTGTAACTCAAGAATGATCGGATTACTAGATACGTAACTCGTAATTATATTGCCAAGCAATCTGCGCATTGGTATGCATGAACTACACAAAACTCCGAAAAATAATTCAACTGATATAATTCTAGCACTTATATAACTGATATTTTGCGTTAGCACAGAACGCCGTCAGGCTTTCACGACCAACGCCACATCGCTGTCGTGACAGCAAGCGAACCGCACGACAACATTAGTTGTTGAAAATCACAACACAAGGCTCAGACAATAGAACATTTAAATGACATTTTCAACCGCAATCAAAGTTAGTGATACCAAATTAGCAAAAATATCGTACGTCGTCTTCTCCTGTGTTGAACATCCTGCAGTTGCTCTTGTTCGGTGCTGTTGGCTTGTTGTTGAAATGGGACCAATTTTTCGAGTCAAGAAATTGCTCTTCATCCAACATGTGATAGCATGATAGTTCCGAGTTACATCCTAAGTTTGCGTGTACGATAAATTACGTTTCTGCTAGGAAGAGAAATTGTTTACGCCAGTGAGCAAGACGCTAAATCCAACCAAACACAGAAACCCTTTTTCAAAAGCCTAATTTTGAAGAATTCAAGTCCATACATCCTCAGGATCAAAAAGACCATGAATAGGCAGCCGTCACGTCGCTCGATCTATTATTCCATGTTTCCTTCTCGTTCGTAAAATGTTGCATTAACAATCGCTATCCTCCACCTCCAATTTATTGTTTGTATGACGCTTCAACACTTGCAAGCCTGCCTCCCTTTCCCGATGTTCCTGGATACGAGCTGGGCTCGAGGGTAGAGTTCCTGAACAAAACTCGATACACTGTAATATGTCGTCCTTAATTTTTTTGCACGATGTGTTAACATTTTGATGGTTATAATAACATAATATACTATCATAACGAACATACTCACCTCAATAGTGCCTTGAACGCTCATTGTAAAGAGTGAGTTTTGAGAGTGAATTACCAGTTTGGTTAATTTTTTTGTAACTAATCATTCATTGGTGACATAAATAATAAATTTATGTAAAAACTACGCGAATGATATAAATAAACGAATTAAACATTTAAAGTCTTTAATATGGACCATTAGTATTACCTTACACTTACAGCATATTAATTAGGTAAAAGGCAAATTAATATTTGAGAACAGAAACACAAAGAGATGACAAAATATTGTCTCAATTAAATCTAAGTTTCGTTGGGGAATTCATCTAACACATCTGCGTCTCGTCACGAGTGCGATACAAGAGAAGAAGTTCTTTCTCCACTATGTAAACCCGCGCCGCCACTCACTGGTTACGATTCCTAATTCTTGTTCCCTTATATTATTAACTTTCAATTGTAAACGTAGTGAAATCGTTTTCTTCGGATTATCTTCATTACTTTATTAATTTTTACTTCCTTTGTGTGCAATATTTGATTTACCGATGACCGTTTACCGTTGAAGATCGCATATTAAATTTATTGTTCTTAATTACACCTCTACGATGAAATATTTGAATAAGTGTTTCTGTTAGACTATACTTTGAAGGACTCTTAAATCACTCGAAATGTTTATTATTTTTTATGCTCATACACTTGGTAGTGTCTACTCTTTAAACCTAACATGCTTATAGGATAATGCAAGGGCCAACTTTAAACGGGCAAGACTAAACATCGCTGCAAGTAGGAACTAACGCCTGCTGGTCTGTCAGACATGGGGCTCATCTACATTGAAGATATGAATGATCCAGATATCGGTTATGCGCGTTGCGGTCACAAAGTCCACTCATTCGGTGCGACAAGTATGCACTTGATGTCCTTAGAGTGACCAATGAACTGNAGTTCTTTCTCCACTATGTAAACCCGCGCCGCCACTCACTGGTTAGGATTCTTAATTCTTGTAGGTTGATTATGTCACGATCGATGAGACAAATTTACGTGAAAAATTCATAGTATGAGTTACCCTACGTACCTCTCTTTCAGCAGCCAAGTCACCGGGGTAATGAGGGCACTACCGCGCAGCTACCATTAATCTGATTTAATCCATGTAAATCGGCAAAGGACTAATATTTTACAAATTTCATTTTTAGAAGGACAATATCAAAGAGATAGCACCCTTGTGAGCCTTCGTATGTTACTGAATATGTATCTATTGGAATCGAAATTGACACTGCACATGAAAAATTAACAATAGCGTTCAAGTATAGTGATAAAAATGTTCTCACTATTGACTACCTATGTATATTTCCGCCATGTAACTATCATCTTTTTGCCTAATGGATGTACTTTACTCAACTATGATACTCTATGTACAGTTGCACATGGTAATGTTTTCGTACACCACGACCATGTGTATGCTCGAACATGTCAACATATGGACGCTGTGTCGTGACCTACGTCTGAACCTCATCCTCGCCGCATGGACCGACCCGTTATATTTCTAGTTTGCCTTAGAGCCGTATTATAGTAGATTTCAGGAATCTTGTTTTTCGATCCGCTCGAGCCTGTTCTCTACTCCGCAATTTACGAGAATCACGCAAGGATTGCTGCGACCGACCGAGCCAGGCATTGAAATAACATATTGCGACCTTTGTTTACCAAGAAAAAAGATACACCTTGTGAAAGAAAATTGCTGGGTGCAAGTATACCTGACTGTTATGTACGTAATATTTATTCTCACGTTTCCTATAATTTGGTGATTGCAGCTTGGTGGAAAGATTTCGCCGTTCGACTGATGCAGCGTGGTCATTCGATATAGCGGCACGCATGGCTTTCAGCTCCCAGCAGCTGGTAGCCTCGTAAGCTTAGTTTAGATACGGCGCTCGTGTAGTGTGGTTGATAGGAGTTGTGCGGTCTTTTTCAACGGAGTGACTAAGTGCATTGAACTTCAGTTATTGTAACAATGAACGGAAGGTATTCAAAAAGGTGATATCAATGAGGGTTATGTGCGTGATATAAATCATACATGTTCTGTCTATGAATTTACTTGGCTAATTTATTTCGAAGTAGAAATACAAGAAACGCTAATTTTCACTTTAAATAATGTGTACTAACTAGCAAATACTTCAGTGACGGACTTGAATTCGAAGGCTTTCATTCGTGAAGGTCTCTGAGCTTTGGGATAAATTATTCTAAACATATGTTTACAAACAGCTTTATTATCAGTTTTTAAAATTTCAATCGGAAAATCACTATATTTTTTGAGTAGCGGCTCAAATGACATGCTGTGACAGTGTGAATTTACGTCTAGTTTCACTTGCTACAAATTTACGCTTCCAGTGATTCTTCTCATATTTAACGGTTGAGGGTCTCGCTAGTTCATATGACTTTAATTTAATAGTACTCGCTTAGCGAGAATGAAAATTATTTATCAGAAGCGTGGAAGTGAACAACAACAAAAACATGCTTATTACGCTTGCACATTTATGTTTCAATATTTCACTCATGATAAGGCATCTTAAAATTATATCAAATTCTGCATCAGAAACAGAAAGAGATTTGTAGCGTTTGTTTTGATTATTTCTGCCATCCTCCTCCTGACCTCTTGTACCATTTGAATGTTGTGTTCTTCTTGAGAATCACAATGGTTATATCGGTACTTTAATTGCTCCTGATTCCTCAGCACTCATGAATCATAGCTGATTCTTAGCAATATTTAGATTTTAGAGAATGTCCCGAGAAATTGTAGCCTTTCTTACAATATGTGATAATTATTTCAGCTTTTCTTGTCTATTTTGTCCTGATTAATTGTTAACAATGTGTGTAAACACAGGCCACCTTTGAATTTTTGGGAACCAGAATTGTTTGGGAATTGGTATGAGAAAAACAACCTGTCATGCTGAGTTCTAAACGCCATGATATTGCGGTGAATAACATGATATCCACATGGACGATTCGTTGGCTGAGTTCTCTGTACAACATGACGCCTAGGTCGTGTTGTTTAAAATTGAAATTAGAATTTACGAAAAAAGTGTTAGTTTTACTACTCACCGTTTACATCACATGGTGTTTACTGACTCAAATATGTTGGCTGCACGATCGAAATACCATGGAAGATGCACCATTCAGAGACGAACATCCATTGGTACAACTGGTGTTGCTGGTGCGCAACAAGGCTCCAGTTCTTCCATATGTACTGAGTCACATTAACGCTCTACAATATCCAAAGAGGCGCATTATCCTCTACATTCGCGCAGATCACTGCCATGATCGCTCCATAGATATCCTGCAAGACTGGCTTCATCATGTTGCTCATGAGTACAACAAAACTGACGTGGCTCTAGATCAGACAAAACGCAAGTTCCGTGGCGATGACAATCCTAGAGTGTATTATACTCAGTCCTATAAACATATCATCAAACTCAAAGAAGATGCCATGAGCGAAGCAAAGAATAATAAGGCAGACTTCCTCCTGCTTTTGGATGCAGATGTGGTCTTAACATATACCAATTTAATCGAACATTTGATCGCACAGGGAAAGCCCGTTATAGGACCGCTCTTGAATTATGCCGGAGACATTCATCGCAGTAACTTCTGGCTCCATTACAATCAAGACATATGGAGGAACGAACACGATCAGCACGATTCCGACCTGAATGGTTGGGTTACATGGGAGTTCATGTATAGGTACCAAAGAAAATGCGTTCCAGTGGCACTCGTTCATTCATGTTTGTTAATACATTTAAGAGATCCAATAGTCTCAGGGATAAGTTTTTCTGTTGCACAAGCGCAATTAGAAGACATGAAGCCTACGGATGATTTGACGAGTTTTGCAGAGTATGCAAAGCAGAATAACGTAACAGTTTGGGCGTGCAACTTCGAGCGCTACGGCCTGACTCTCCCTCTCACATCTGACCAAACAGACGAAGAAGTTCAGCTAGAAACTGAGGATCTCCTACTCAATCTGGTGGATCTTAACTACATTCCACTTCCTCAATATTTTTTGAAGTATGTCCAACTTGAAAAGAGAAATTATGATCTACTCGGATTCGATGAAATATATTATATTAACTTGGATAGACGCCCTAAAAGAAGAGACGCCATGGAAAAGAAGTTCGAAATCGCCAGGATTGGACCGTTGACCCGAGTACCGGCTGTGGACGGACGCGATCTGAACGAATCATACCTCATCGACAACAATATCAGGCAAAACGAAATGTTTTGGAGCCCAGTGAATGGAGGGAAACTTACGATGGGAGAGATCGGATGCTTTTTAAGTCATTATAAAATTTGGATGGACGTTATTAAGAAAAAACATAGCAAGGTCTGTTATGAAGCTGAAATAGCATGTTAGCCTAAATATGCTCAAAGCAATTATGTGAATGTGTCTAAAGCATGCTTCAGTCAAACAGTTGAAAAATATTATATTATGAGTAATGTATAACAGGAATAATTGTTTACGCGTTGCCAAATTTGTGTGAAAAATGCGAAAATTCGTTACGCTCAACAAGCTGAAGTTTCAAAAATAAATTTAATTAAATAAACGTCAATCTGGACCTTGACTTTTATTTTTTCGATAGAAAAATTATTACAAGTGAACTATGTAATATTACTTCGCGCCAGTCATTAAATTTTTTCTCAAGCCAAATTTTTCTGCGTTCCTCGTGCAGGTGTTGATTCTGGAAGATGATTTTTGGTTTCACTCCAAGTTTCGGCTGCGCGTGTACAAGTTACATGAAGAAATTAGACGCCTGAATCTTCAGTGGGATACCATAGCTTTGGCAAGAGTCAATGAACTGGACGATGAAAAACTGGTAAGTCTTTTGTACAATTTTGTACGAAAAATTTAATAATTTAGTTCGTTGTGGAACAAGGAACTGTGCATATAAAAAACGATGGCATTATCAAATGCGACTGGAATGTAATTAATGATATCATGAACAAGGAAGAAACTATGCTACTGCATGCAGAAAACAAGGCTTACAAACAGCTACTAATTATTTACATAATAATTTATCATGATGAGACTACCTAATTTAAAATTACAAAACACTTAATTCCAGCTAGAATCTGAAGTCGCGAAGTATATCCTTCCGCGATGATTCATCATAGTTGTCTTCCTAATACAGTTGGCTGGCATTATATAGTACAATATATAATATTATGTATATTCTAAAGTGAAATTTCAGGTGCTGATACTTGAATTAACCGAGTCTTCGTCATAGTTTTAAGCCAAAATTACTAATTGCCACGATCTTCTGCAGCAGTATTTTGACTCGATTTTCCTTGTAGCTATTCTGACTCGACTTGGTAGTGCAATACACCGAAGATAATTCGACTCATTCACTAATTTATTCTACTTGATAATTCGATCACAACTTTCAATTAGACGAGGTTGTGAATGATCCCTGTTCTAGCTCGCTGGCTCGGAGTACATCTTACAGCCGATGTTCTACCAGTGGATGTTGGCTTACATGCTCAGCTTCGAGGGAGCCAAGAAACTTTTGGCCCCTAAACCTCTTTCGAATATGATTCCAGCGGACCTTTACATAACTGTTCTGGCGGGACAACTTCCAATGGTAATAACATTTCCTACAATGATCTGATTGTATCATTTTTCGCTCTAAATTAATTTTATCAGAGAGCTCACAGGATTCTCATTATTCCCATATCTTACACGCCAGTTGTTAGCGAATTAAGTGGAATGAAATGCAACTGCATTAATTATTAACGGCTGATATGTAATATTAGTTGATGGTTCGCGGCTAGCAGCTGGTACCGGTGCGCCGCAACTCAAAAAGACCTCCAATTTTGTTCCCTCCATCACACCGCAGTTTTGGAATAAGTAATCTCTAAGAATACTAAATTAGCATGTTAAGAAATAGAGTAGTGTATAATGTATATGCCCATAACCTATTTTTAGTCTCGTCTTTTGAAAAAGGTCGTATTCATTTATTCATTTTATCCCTTTACAATGAATATAATCAAGTTGGTCAATAAAAAATTAGAGCTCCTGAACACACACGCGCTTACGACACACTTACCATGTCACTGCAGAACCTTGTTTGGGCAACTCATGCAAATTGTACAAAGAATCATCGAACGTTGTTCTCTGGTATGAAGAAAATGCATTGCTCCATTATTTCAATTTAACATGCGCAATAGATGTAAAAGAACTATACACGGAATCCGAATAATTCTTTAGATTTTTTAAGTTCAGAAATTAACCTGAGCCTGAGATACAGCGACCAGAGAGTATCATCTCAAACTAGTCATAGAATAATAGTATAAGAGGCTGCAGAGTTTATCCTGTTAAAAACATAATGAGAACCAATTTTCATTACACGAGTCGAAGCGGACAAGCATACTTCATACATTTTCAGCTACAGATTTTAGGGGCTTTTCCAATTTTTTCCGAGCTCTCTATGAGGAGTTTACAAATGGAAAGTACACCTTTTCACTGAATTACGGTAAATAACTCAGAAAGCTTTACACTTTGTTTCAGGACTTTGCATGGACTTACCAGAACCACAACCTACTGAGCTACTCATCCCACCCCACTTTCGGCTACCCTGTGTACATAGACGGCGCTGACTCTGCCTTTCTAAGCGACACGCAAGAACGGGAATCTGTAACGGAAGATCTTAACGATACATGAAAATACATAGAAAAGGATAAAATTACATGGAAAAAATATAACTCAGTACTCACTGCAGTGAGTGACAGAGAGCGCATTTTCTCGTCGACGAAAACTTGAGATCACGGACAGACGGACGGACGGACAGACAGAAAGACGGACGGACGGACATAGCGAGCACAATAGTGCATTTTTTCCATAAATGAGAAAATGCGCTAAAAAGAGTCTTGTTGAATCAACTCCTTTTAACCATTTATGAAATAATTTTTGAATGTTTACCATATTTTATAAATAGATACATTTCTATACAACCTATTGTGGTAAAGATTGCAAAGTTAAACTTTTTCCCAAGTTTGACGGACTGTTTATTAGTACGACCTCATCAGCTCGTACAGGTTAAATGGAACTGATGGAGTCAATTGATACTCATAATTCCTACACAAAATTGCCCAAATCAAAGCAACGATTAACTTAAAACAGTTAGACACAAAGTTAATTATTTTGTGTGCCATCTTGTAATCAATGGAAATGGTGAAAACGAATTTGTATAGCTGTATAGCTGCGGCTTGAATATATGTTAAGGTTATACTCATTCGTGAAATTGTACGTATGCGCAATTTCGTATGTTAGTGTTTCGTACGAATGTTTTCATTTAGCGTATAAAATAAGCGTAGAGATATAATTAAATTATCCGTACTGTCAATAGACCGACAGTATATGAGTTCTTAAAGGTTCCATTCGTAGTCGGGAAACCGCTTTTCACAAAGCAGACACAGAAGTGTGTAGGTTCCTATTAATAATATTGCGAAAACTTATACCTCACTCAATACAAACAAACAGCTAGTATGTGAAAAGGAAGTATTTCTTCTCGCCGATAATTATTTTGAATTTCTTGTCGTTTTCCCGGAATTATTTGATCGACAGAAATTACTGCCAGAGTCGTGGGAAAATTTGAGTGTTCAAATTTAGCGTCTCTTGAAGAATCATTAAAATATTTATGTTTCTTATCGATAGTAAATTTAATGAAGTATATTAAAAGCCTCGCTCATGTCTGTCGATGATTAAAATTTATTAACATAGTGTTCATTCAGACTGTGGTTCACTGATAAATTATATTCGTGTGAGAATTGGCACTTCCTAATTTGGGGTAAAGTTACCGTAATGCGATTCGTACCACTCGACTGGGCAGAGTGGCCCAATGGTTAAAGTTCAGAGTACCGAGATTGGAGCCGGGTTCGATCCCATGTGCGCCAGTTTCTGGTCAGAATCGGCAAGGAGGCCGGGCGGTTAAGCAAAGAAAATTTGTAGCAGTGAGTTGCGAGTTCAAGCCCGCAACATGCTGTGGCTGTTCTGCGATGTTAAGAATCTGCGACAGGCCTATGGTCTAATGAACGCTGAAACCGCTATACTGTTATCATATATCTGAATAATTATGAGTTGGCTTAAAATTTCTCGTCTGAGTAAAAATTAGAAAATGTTTTATTGACAAGTTGCCATCACTCAGTCCGGAATGAATTGAGTACGGCAGTATGGACCCGCAGTTTACTTGCAGCATCTCCCGTTACAAGCAGGCTTCTAGATTAAAATAATGGATAGACATTTGTATACACTATACAGGGATAGCGTATCAGTTGAAAAGTGTTATAGTTAGTTTATAGCCACGGCTATAAACTAAAAAAACTGCGTTGTAACACATCCATGCGACAACATTTCTTCTCACTTCGAGTCACCGACATGTGGAACAGCCTCCCAGATAGCATCGTTGACGCTAGCTCCAAGTATCCGAGTATGAACGCTTTCAAGAACAGACTAGACGAAGCTATGCAGGAGCATATGTTCAGTCTTAAAATGCCTAGCAAATTACGGACCAGGCAATAAGTCCAGCAGCTATCTCAATCAATCGTCAGCTATGGAAAGATCGGGTTCCAAAGGCCGGATCCCTTGTGAATCAAGTCGCGAAAAAATACAAAAATAGGCAACAGGCCATGGGCCTATTTCTTCAGTGCCGACACTTCTATTATATTCTATAATATGAAGCTTTATTCCTGAAAGGTATGAAATTTCTACGCGAGATTTCATAAAAAATCATGTTGTTAACGATAGTTGCACGTTAAAGTATCATAACAAAATTTTGCCCAACTACTGACCAACAATTTTTATTTACCTGCGAATGTAATTAACGCGTTCATAATAATGCAATGCTACTCCTGGATTCGAATAATAATAATAATTTACACATAAAATAATTTTTTCTCGTACTGTAGATACAAAGGGCTAAGTTTCCCGTAGATTGCCGAGTAGGATTCCACTGACTCGAAGAGGCTCAACATAATTTTCCAACGAGTTAGGCAAGTCTTCTTCAGCTCACCACAGACCTGACCGATCACACAACACCTGCTTAATTAACTGTTCTGGGACCAGTTCATGCTCGTTTTTCGGCATTGCATGAAATAACTTGATCGACTCCTCTTCGAAATCGCCAGCGAACTCGAACGCATACGCACTTTCGCGCAAAGGAACACCTCATTAGTCCCTCAATTTGGAACGTAACTTATTAGCAAGACATCGTGGCAGGAAACTTCGCAAATTTTTACATTGCTGATTTTTTATGAAAATAAACTTCCGAAAAATTAGGTTTCGGTTAGATTAAGATAGGTTAGGTTAGGATATGTTAAGATATATAATTCTAAGATATAGTCCTAAGATATATAATAAAATAAAAGTGTCGGCACTGAAGAAATAGGCCCGGCCATGGCCTGTTGCCGATTCTTGTACTTTTCGTGACTTGATTCACAAGGGATCCGGCCTCTGGAACCCGATCTTTCCATAACTGACGATTGATTGAGATAGCTGATGGACTTATAGCCTGGTCCGTAATTTGCTAGGCATTCTAAGACTGAACATATCATGGTTGAATTAATATTAATTCAACCATGGAACATATGATCCTGCATAGCTTCGTCTAGTCTGATCTTTATAATGTAATAGCAAATAGAGTAATTTAGCCAATTCTAAACAATCTCAACATGTCGGGACCTAACAAAAAATTTTTAAAATTTCATTCAACGAAAAAAGTAGCCACGTATAAATTTGCGATGATTTCTTCCGTGGTGACTTACTTATAATTAGTTAGGTATGTTCATGCAGATCTGTTCAGAATTAAGAAACTTATGAGCTGAACAGTTGCGTTTATTATTTTAATCGAAAACAAAATTATAAAAATATCTGCAAATATTCCTGCCGCAACACATTGATAGTAATTAGGTAGTCATTTTTTTGAGATTTCATATTCGTTCGTTCAGAATTGAAAGACTTATAAGCTATTCAAAAGTTGCGTTTGAGTCTGTTGGCGAGTTCGAAGGTGAGTTCGGATGTGTCGATTTGGTCGTGAAAAATCTCTGAATAGTGTCATGAAAATTTACCAACAATTGAAGCAACACGAATCACTGTGTTGATCTGTCGTGAAATACATACTGAAGTGACAGTTCAAATTTGTTAATAAGGTAAAAATTACTATATTATACTTGTAATAATTACTATATTATTGATCTGCCTGGATCGGATTATCAAAACATGATAATTTGGTATAAAAGACCAATTTACATCACGATGGAAAAATAGGATGAGAGTACCGTTAAGCAGTCTCTTCGATAATCGTCATGCCGACTGAAAACAAGTTTCGGTGACCGTAGCTTGACTAGCAGGCAACGGGGCCGCGGCCGTCACTCAGAGTCTCAGGCTCTCAGGTCTCAGCGCAGCTTCAGTGTTCAGGCGGCGCTCGCAAAGATAAGATTGCGTTTGCCATTCGAATGTTTCGTTCTGAGAGTAACCCGTACATCTTCTTAATTTCATTCTTGTAAGGTTAACAAAAACAAGAGAATAGTCCAATTATACTGAGACGTAATAAATGTACTTCATAAATGTCATATTTCAGTTTCACTAGCTGGAGTTGGAATGTATTTTATTCGGTTAGCTGCAGTATTAGCCAGGTTAAGGTGTAGGCTACAATATTTTTTTCTGAACCATAGAGAAAATCCTCTAGTGAACAACACAACCATAATACTATTATAACGACAGTGACCCAGAAAATTTTAAAATTTCATTAGTGTTCATACAAATCCCTTGTGTGAGATAGTTAACTACCCAATCACAAGAAAATCCTGGGTAGAAACTAGCACTTGCCACTACTGCACGGTGCAACTTCGGGTGACCTAATCATACTAATGTGCAGTGTCATGGACTGATTTTATTTATCGTTTTCTATCTTGACAGCCTAAGGACTTAGTTAACGCGGAATTCAGCAGTTTTAAGAAATTTTGGTTCATGCGAAGGGTCTGATAAACAATGATTTGACATCAGTCCTCAATTATGTCTGACTGAGAGTATCTTATACACTGGACAGTGAGCATAACTGAGCAATGCTGCTGGGATACCTACATCTCAAATACGTAACAACAGAAAATGATGAGAGGTTGCCATGAAGGTCAAGTCTTGCTTTTCTAAATGGAAACTAAAATTGATTAACCAAATGATTGTTTGCGTAATGATGGCTCACATAACATGGTGGTTACTGACTCAATTATGTTGGTTGGATGTCGAAAATATCATGGAAGATGCACCATTCAGAGACGAACATCCATTGGTACAACTGGTGTTGCTGGTGCGCAACAAGGCTCCAGTTCTTCCATATGTACTGAGTCACATTCACGCTCTACAATATTCAAAGAGGCGCATTATCCTCTACATTCGCGCAGATCACTGCCATGATCGCTCTATAGATATCCTGCAGGACTGGCTTCATCATGTTGCTCATGAGTACAACAAAACTGATGTGGCTCTTGATCAGACAAAACGCAAGTTCCGTGGCGATGACAATCCTAGAATGTATTCTATACAGTCCTACAAACACGTTATAAAACTCAAGGAAGATGCCATGACCTATGCCAAAGATAATAATGTAGACTATGTCTTATTGTTGGATGCCGATGTGATCATCACATACTCGAATCTTATTGATCATCTAATATCACAGAATAAAACGATTGTTGGACCACTTGTCCGATTTTCCACGAGCGAATACGAAGGCAACATATGGCCAAAGTTGAGCAAAGATTTGTGGCGAGATACATGGAAATTTGACGAGTTGAATCTCACGAGCGACAATGAAATGGAATTAGGCTATAGGAACGTGAAGCTGTGCACAAAAGTGGCTCTCGTTCATTCCTGCTTACTAATTAACATGAGAAAATCTTTTGTTGAGAAATTGACGTTTGATTACCTAAAGCTTGGACACACTGGCAAAGGAGGCAAGATTTTAGATGATCTAGTTAGCTTTGCTGTGTCTGCTGAAAATGCAGGCATCGATATGATCGTTTGTAACATGGAAAATTACGGCGTTCTGCTACCGTATACATCAGGACAGACGGATGAAATGTTTGTGCGTGAAGTCGAGGACATGCTTGTGAAGGCTGTGAACCCTAGGAGCTCTTGGCAGTCTGATACTGCCATCGGCTATGGTAAAACTGAACGAGACTTCCACAAGCTCAACATCGATGAAATATATTACATTAATCTTGATCGTCGCCCAGAGAGGAGGAAATCTATGGAGTTCAAGTTTCGTATCCTCCGACTCGGACCCGTAAAGCGAATACCTGCAGTGGACGGCAGGCAACTAGAAGATTCTTATCTTATTGAACGCAATATTAAAGCAGCAGAAGGCTACCGTAATACATTCGATGATTCTGAGTTAACCAAAGGCGAAATCGGGTGCTTCATGAGCCATCATCAAATCTGGGAAGATGTCGTTTCAAGGAATTTGTCCAAGGTAATTGGTGATTCGAAAGTGTGACCTATCATTTTCTCTTAGTACAAGTTTGAGTTTTGTGAGTTTATTTCGGTGACGTGATGTTCGACGGAGCATGTTGGCGCACTCTTTTTAAAAATTTACGCACACTTTATAAAATTTTCATTATAGTTTTTTTGCTACCCTGAATATAGAGAACTGTCAACATCATAGTGGTCATGTTTTATCAGGATCAATTTTCGAGACTCGGATTAAAAAAAAGTAAGTCGATATTACTCGATTTTGATTGAACAGAGCTGCGTTTTGTGTTCATAGAGCCGATACTACGCTACCGTAGTTCAGATTCATAAAACATTTTTGCTTCCGTTTTCATCGCCTTACATTTTATCGCTTTGATTGCTCTGTGAACCGAACTTACTCTTAATTTATTATTTTTAAATTTATGTAGTGATTTAGTGATAGAATGGAGCGATTTTGATGTTTTCAGGTGAAATTTTTTGTAGGACTTATTGACTCTTTCTAGTGTGAAACTTGTGATAATTTGAATGAAAGCAATCAGTATCGAATATCAATTTCAAAGTTAAAAATTTAGTGGTTATTGAATATCTGTTGAACCTTACAGTGACTGACGACCTATATAGTTTCAAATTTAACATCAGTGTCATTTCGGTGGCTGGATAATTTATACATTTATCTAATACTTGCCAGGTACTCGTGTTTGAAGATGACTTTTCTTTCCACTCGGGATTTCCAAGCAAAGTGGAAGACATTTTGTCTGAATTGAAGAGATTACGTTTATCTTGGGACATCATCAGCCTCTCGCGGTTGGGTCAACGCTACGAAATGGAGACGAATGTGAGGAAAATGGCAGTTTATGCTTAGGTCAAGTCTTAGGTCAACAAAATTTGTGAATTTGTTATTTGAATTGAAATATAAATGCGTTACTTGAGGCTATTATGTTATGCATTTTATCAGTTATAATATGTATTGGAATAGTCTGTTCGGTGCCGTATTTATAAAATTAATCACGGGTGTCTGGTTCTCGGCGAAAGATAAAATGTCATTAAACATTTTGGATTTTTTGAAAAATTTATCAACAGTTCATATCCATACATATATGCTTATTCTGCTTGGCGGCTAGAGTAACTGTAGTGAATCGTGTGGTATTTACAGTAAAATTTAAATATTTGAAATATTGTTGCTTCTCTCAATCATAACATAAAATTTTCAAATAATGAAAACTACTTCCAGACACGCATCTTTTTCTTCAACTGGAACAGGTCTGAACTGATTACAGATGATCAATGCAATTTACTCTTTGAATTGATATCAGTAAAATTAATTTTTTATTCGTCTTTCGCATGTTTTTTAGTAAGTTTCTTTGTCGATTAATTGATGGTGCGATAGTGATTGATAATTGTTTATTTTTTGCGTTACACTGCCGACTGCCGAGCTCTGCAGTAAACTTGAGGCATGTACTTTGAGTAAAAGCAATTCGGTACCTTATCTACTTGAGCCGCTTCTCCTTTTTTATATATGTAAATCAGAATTTTGTTAATTCAAATCATACTTATACTTTTCAAATCTTTCTTCATTTATTTATTTATTATGTTTCGAACATCTGAGAAGATTATTGTGATGTATAAAGAGTTGGAAACTTTAATTATGTTTCGAACATCTGAGAAGATTATTGTGATGTATAAAGAGTTGGAAACTTTAAATCATTTGATTTTGTTGCACTTCTATTCTATTGCTGCGATTTGATACGCAGATAGTTAGTTTCATGTAATTTTCTCCTACATCTGCAACTTTTCTCTGTAGCCAATGCTGAATTTTTAAGTATTTATTGTATTACCTGTGAAAGAAACGACTTTACAGTTTTTAGTCATGCCCATGAACTTTGCCTTTATCTCTTTAATTACACCCCTTCACCATTATTTAAATGCGTATGATTTGACTATGAGATATCATAAAAAGAANGAGTTCTTAAGTAACACAGTCACATAATATTAAGAACGTTTAAAACGTATTCTTTCGTGACAGTAACATTTTCTGTGCGTACCCCAGACATTTGCTCTGTTTTGCGACAATATGTCACTTGATCTATTAATTAAATATAGTATTCCAACAATGATATTGTATAATTGTATTCCATGTAGTGGCACACTAAGGCTATGAAAAAAATAGAGGGAGATATATAGGCAAAAATAAATATTTTTTTTCATTAATATACGTACATTTAATTCAATGGCAAAAGAAAAAACATTTGAACGGAACTGCATAGTAAATAACCTTTACTTCGAAACGATTAGGGTAAATTCTATTAGGGCGAATAAAAAATTCTGTCGATGCTAGCATGGGCGTAATGTCAATAAATACCTCTATTTTTCACTGGCTCCTGATCGGTTACGACTTGATTTACATTATGCGTGGAAATCCTGCAATAGAAATTCGTCACTTAAGTGTTGATGCGGTCTGAATTCATACGCTTGGAATTTCTTCGTATGTAGATTTGTTAGTTATGATTCAACAATGCTTCTCTAAAACGATTGGTAATTCAAAATATTTATAGTAAGTGAAACCATATTAGTTTCTCAGAACTCATGAACTGGTTTGTCATTGATCGGATTAGCGCAACCTTGCACGCAGAACTGTCGGTATAATCGATGATATAACGTCAAATAAGAGACAAATATTATATATTTTCATAGTTTGCATTTAACATAGGTACTAGATTATTTTATTTAACTTGATATTTATTTCAGTTAACTATATTTCCAATATATATAAAAATTATATTCGTGTGGATTTATTTGGCTTTTTGGTAATGTTGAGCACATCCTAATTAAAAGTTGCTTTATTTGATCCTGTTTATTTTAATTATTATGAAATAAACAAATATTACCAGAAGATTCGGCCAGATTGAGCTGCCAGATGCTACTGCCAGATTCTACCGCCAGATGACAGTTCGGCAGTCTTGGCCGGCTCATACTTCGTCCCACTGTCTGCGGGAAAGTTGCATCGTGTTTGTAACTACTAACGCTAAGCTACTGTACCTTCCAAATAATTAAAACAGGTGAGAAGTGTGCTAGATCACTACAATTATCCTTATTTATTTCATTAACTTACATGAATAAAAAAGTTGGATTCGTTGGAGCACTCACTGTCTTGTGCTAGACTAGGTATAGTAGCCTATTTTTTTTAATTTGACTTGTCGGTACTCCCACCGCCCACGCCTTGCAGTTGCACAATATTTGACAATAATAGTCTTAATCAGGAACAAACGCAAAGGGCTTGAAATTTTTAGGGTAGTTTACTAACATTTAGGTTCACTACTGTGTCTGTAAGTACTGTTTAACTAGTGCAAGGCCTGCCACCAGTAGGGTTTTTATAGGCTAACACTGTGTAAAACATTTAATAAAATTAGAGGTTTGTTGTAAATTTTATTTTAATTTGTGTTGTGGGACATGCTCAAGTTTCTTGTGCCAGTTTCTTTCATGTACATACACCAAATTTGACGTCAGTTCTGTTCTTTGCTTGGTTGTTTCAATGTTGGGTGAGATTAAGTAGTAGAGAGTTATACCTACTACAGCTGTCATCAAGTATTGATATTTGTTCTATGTAATATTTTAAATCTAATAATTGATTATATTTGTTCAGGTGTTGATGTACTCTTCTAGCTTCACCTTGCATGTGGCACATTATTGGCTGTCATGTTTCTCTCACATGGATTGTGAACCATTTGCTGATGATTATATTATTTGTGTCATAAATCATGTGTGCTTGCTTCATTTTTATTTGCTTATCATGTAGCAACCAAACGTGAGATTTTAATAGCAAATTCATTATAAATTTTTTGTGTAATGCGCACAAGTCTTAGGAAGCTTGGTTTTCCTGCTATCTGAGTTGTCAGCTTTTTTCAATCAAAGGATATTTTCTCTTCATGTATCTGTCACTACTATTTAAATCATCTCTGCTTCTGATAGTATTGATATTATGTAACAGATCTGTCTTTTATGAAGATTTGTTTCAATCCTTTTAAAGTGGCTTCCCTTGCATCACTTATGCAGTTATGCTTTCTCTATGGGAAGATCTATTCAGGAAGTTCACAGTAGCTATGGTGACTGATGAGTGTGCTATCTGAGTCACCAAATTTAAAGTTGTACACTTTCAGTTTAATTTTAAATTTATTAGTTAAGTTGAAATTTGACAATTTCTACTACTAAATCTTTGAAAGTGCCTTTTGATGTATTATTGTATTTAGTTTGTTTTGCTCATTTCAAATTCTTCCATGCTGCTTATTTAATTCAATACTTCTGTTACGTTATTTTTTCACAAAACAAATTTGCAGATGACTTACATGACCAACTTTCAAATGAGACTGATGAATATTGATATTGACATCTATTGTTAGCCATGAAACATGAATTAGTTCAATTTCAATAGAAACCAAAATGGTTATCTAGCTCTGTAAATCTTGCCAAGATCTGAAAAACATTGAATTTACTCATAACTAAACATCCTGGATGGTGTAACCATACATTATGAGGAAGAGTGTGAGAATACTACAATTTCATTTCTGTAATTCTGTTAGCACTTCATAATTCTTGAACCATGATTAGTTCAAGTATTTTCATGAAAACTCTTGACTCAATGAATGGAAGCTGATTCACTTCTGAAGCATCATCTATTTAAGTAATTATTACTTCTTTCCAAATTAAAGTTTTGACTTGACTGTGGACTGGCACTCACTAACTGATGGTGCTTCTTACAGCTTGGCAGTGTAGATGTAGATGCCCTGCTGCCCGTCCCTCTTTGCCAGGTAGGGCAACTGAGCTGCAGTTCTCACCTGCCCTCACCTCCCCTCAAGACCAATTCTCTGTGGCTTTAATTGACTAACTTCCTTCCAGTTGCTCCTGCTTGATTCCATCCTTAGGTTACATTTTTTCTATTTGCTTGCAATTCCATTTATTTTTCCATTTTCCTAGACTAGTCATATTTCAAGGCATCATCACACGTTTGATGGGAATATATCACAATCTGGGAATGTATCATGCAAAATGGAAGGTATCAACAAGATGGTTTAAAATAAAGTATTGTTGAATACTAGGTTGTTGAATCAAGTGTAATCTTCAGTATATTCATCAAGTTCAGTGATGTTGTTCAGTGTTCAAATCAAGTATATATAAAATCTTATATTATCAAATAATCATTAATTCTTGTTGAACTGATGTCCTCCATCTGCAAATTAAAAGCAATTAGAAGTTGTATTCATTTAAATGGATTAAGAGTCATTGTGAAAAAATTGTTTAAACTTGCCTAGACAAATGATTGTCCTGCTGAGGCATTAGCTGCTAACTCAGCTGTGCATTAAATATCTGCTGCAGCAGCAGTCATCTGTGTGTGTGTGTGTGTGTGTTTTTACAGGCTCTTCTTGTCACTCCCGCTGTGTAGATCTTGGACTTAACTACATAAACTGATGTGTTTGTATTTGTATTTCACTTCTGTTGACTTTATATGTGAACCCTTTGGAATTTGTGTGAAATTGTATCTGTGTGATAAATATTCCCAAGATTCCTTCAAAACTGTTTGAAACTTGATTAATGTCTTCCTCTGCACTTGTAAACGTTTCAGATACAATGAGAATGTTCTGTATGAGTAAATGCCTGTGCTAAGGGATTTTGTAGGCCTTCAAATGACAATTGGAATGCTATTGCAGATAAAATGAGATATGAATATTAAATAATCTATTACGATTTTAACAGTAAGAATTGATGAGGAATGGAAGATGGTATTATATTCTTTGCTTGGCCTTATAGTTCAACCATTAGAACTTGTTCCTTTGTCCCTAGTGTTTTGTTTGAACTGAATTCAGTCTATGACTTAGAATCACCATATCTTGAAATGTTTTATTTATATTCATGCAACAAGTCTTGGTAAATATATATACAAGAGCTAATATTGTCTATTATTTAATTTATTTTACTCTGAAGTGAAGTTTGCCTACAAGTTTTTCTAGTCCATATTATTTTGTTGGTGGTAAGGAGTGGAGTTCAACGTTGGTATTAACTATAAACAATTTTTGTCAATTAGTGTTCTTACAACCAGGAGTAAGCTTGATGGAAAGTTCATTAATGAAAGTACTGATGAAATGTTTTATCACATCAGTACTTCAAATACATTGCAATTGACTTTCCATCTAATTATTTGAGAAAAAGCATTTTTTATTGATTTCAGGAGATACTTTTTGTGTTCAAAATGCATACTATCATTTTCAATGGATTAGCCATGTTATAGAGTTTCTACTACACAATTAAGCCATCATATAACACTTGAACTGGAAGCCAAATTCATATGCCTCCAATGAAAATTATTTTGTTCCATGTCATCACATGCATAATATTCATTTTAAAAATCACATTTTATGTTCTCAATATAATGATACGGAGGCCTGAAAAAGTGGTCTCAAGTTTCTATGTTAGCTATAAAATGACAGACTTGCCTGTGATTGTTGTGTGTTGTTCATCTATCCCTATGATGTGTTGTAATTTTGAAGTCTGTTTCAAACAACAAGATTATGCATTGAAACGTTAAGAATATTTTAGAATGTAATCATTAGTTGGTATTAACTATAAACAATTTTTGTCAATTAGTGTTCTTACAACCAGGAGTAAGCTTGATGGAAAGTTCATTAATGAAAGTACTGATGAAATGTTTTATCACATCAGTACTTCAAATACATTGCAATTGACTTTCCATCTAATTATTTGAGAAAAAGCATTTTTTATTGATTTCAGGAGATACTTTTTGTGTTCAAAATGCATACTATCATTTTCAATGGATTAGCCATGTTATAGAGTTTCTACTACACAATTAAGCCATCATATAACACTTGAACTGGAAGCCAAATTCATATGCCTCCAATGAAAATTATTTTGTTCCATGTCATCACATGCATAATATTCATTTTAAAAATCACATTTTATGTTCTCAATATAATGATACGGAGGCCTGAAAAAGTGGTCTCAAGTTTCTATGTTAGCTATAAAATGACAGACTTGCCTGTGATTGTTGTGTGTTGTTCATCTATCCCTATGATGTGTTGTAATTTTGAAGTCTGTTTCAAACAACAAGATTATGCATTGAAACATTGCGAATATTTTAGAATGTAATCATTGATGTTTGTTTGCAGGATGACAGACCGCAAGGCTGTGGTGAAGAATGCTGACATGTCAGAAGAGATGCAGCAGGATGCTGTGGACTGTGCCACACAGGCTATTGAAAAATTCAACATAGAAAAGGTACCTAGTCTTTATCATAGTCAATTGTGTAGTGCTGCAGGAATTACTTCAATATTGATATACAATTTACTTCGTGTATTGTACAATGTACATTACAGGGCATGCGTGATCTATGAGCTTGAACTTGTAATGATTCAGAGTTTTGACTTATGCAGTTAAGAGTAAAATTTCCATAAGCCAAAGTGTCAAGGTTACTCTAATTTCTGAGCGACTCTTTTTTGTGGAAAATTTTTTAGTCTGGAAAACAATTTATTCAGATTAAATTGCGGGGAATGCATGCAATAATAGATATTAAATTAGTTGAATGCGTTTCTAATTGCTGCATCCATGTACTGTATTTGCAGACCAATCAAACTTACACGTTATAACTGCCGATGAATCACTATTTAGGACCAAACAAATATTATAACATGGCATTTACAATAAGGTCATCTCTGAAGTAAGGTATGTAGTCATCTTTAATTTTTATAGAAGTCTTCAATGTGTGTCTTTGTATTTCTTCAGTTTACGTTATTTTTTCTGATCAGGACATCGCGGCGTTTATCAAGAAGGAGTTCGACAAGAAGTACAACCCCACGTGGCACTGCATTGTCGGTCGCAACTTCGGCAGCTACGTGACGCATGAAACCAAACATTTCATCTACTTCTACCTTGGCCAGGTGGCCATCCTGCTATTCAAAAGCGGATAGAAGAAGCCATCACCTCCATTTTTTCTCTTGTTTCTGTTCCTTATTTGTCACGTGGTTTATTCTCCCTCGCTTGATTAGAGCAACAAAGAAGAATCTGTCCATTGCTTCCTTAGTAATCCTCTGTGGAGCGAGGCTGCCGCAACGGATATCCACTGGACGGGCTTGCTTCACTATCCGTCGCTTCATAATTCATCTTCTCACTAATGGTGGGTGTTGCACATTTATCTCATTCGTGAACGCATCTTGAAGTAATTCTCGACCAATAATATGGGAATTTCCAATAACTCCTTTCAATTGACAAGACTAATAATTGGTCGCCTTACGTTTCATCCTCTTTGTTGGCTGAAGAGGAGAGTCAGCACCGCATGATGGGCCCTAGCATGGCCGGAATCTCGCACGTCGTTTGTTGTATTCTGCTGCAGATTGGCTGGCGTTTACGCTGCCTGTTTTGAGAGGTGTTTGAAATTTAGAAGTTGTTGTTTATGCGCAAGAGTGTGCAGTTTTGATCTCTACTATAGCATAAGTTATTATTGTTTAGTGCGAAATTTACCGCAAAAGTTCTCACCTTCCGTTGTACCAATAATGCATTAAATTCTAATATTGCCAAAGTTTATCAAGTATCTGGCATTGTGTGTCTTATATTGTTTAGCCCCGCCAGTCACAATAATTTTCATATTGTACGGAGATTTTGTTCTGAAGTCCGTTGCATTCTGCTCTGCAGTTATTTCGGCAACCATGTTTTTTAGTTTACCTCCTTTAAAGTTTGTATAATTCCGTTCCAAGGGACCATCTATGCCCACTTATGTCCTACTGTTCTATGTACTTAACAAAGATCGCATTAATATGTCACTTTGATCGCTCAATTTGTCTTGAATCCCTGTCTTGATTTCTTTCTGTTCTACGCGACATCTAAATACAGCTAACGTGTCAACACCAGTCGTCGGAATATTTAACCTCCAACCATTTCTTTAGACCCATCATCCGAAATTGAGTTTTTGCGCAACTGTTTGTCTCTGGATGTCTGGTGGCCAGATTTGAAGAAGTAGACAAGTGGGTAAATTATTAACTGGCTTTGATCCCGTCACGTAGTTGACGTAGGATAACATTTGAAAAAATGAAAATTTAATGCTCCTGCTAACAACCGTGGCGAATTTAAGAATAAAGATATACCCGGATTTCCATTAAACCGACATTTCTATGCTAATAGCATTAATTGATTTGACTTCCTTGCGTGTTACAACAAACTGCATAATTTGTAGGATAAGACCACTGCAGAACCTGTTTGCTGTTACCCAGAACCTGGTTTGCATTGATTGATGCAATGTTCGATGTAACCCATAGATGCATAGTCACGGCAGGCCATTGAGATATGGTTCTCATGAAAACCATCAAGATTCTTACGCGCCTTGACGAGTCGTGTAAATGACAATCTTCCATGAAATGACTTACTCCGAATATTATTTCGCTAATGGGTCTTCGGTCAATTCAGTGAGCCACTTAGTAAGTAATACACTCTCCTTTATTTGAAAGAAATGCCTACAAATTGTTAGATTTACTAATGCTATATATAGGACACTCCTCTTCCAATATCACCCGCCTCCAAACGGTTCAAAACGCCGCTCCGAGAACAATAACGGATTGCCACAACACAACTGACGAACTGAGCGACATCTTCACGCCGAATGCTTACCGTTCAGCAACACAGACTTTCTCTCTACCATCAAATCAATAGACCGGTCCACCAACCACGCAAGTGCAACATATACACCAAATTCGGTACATCAAAGGACGCTATTATACATCAAATCCATACGTGTTGTACCTCCAGTACTCCCAACCAGCATAAACAGTGAAACTCTTAACCCTGCAGTGGCCGCCTACAAAATTTGATCGCAACGAAAATGCACTAATCGGCATTTGGTGTAGCAGCAGCCACAGTAACTGTGAGTCTGTTGGCACACAAATGAGGTCAAGACAGGAGAACACGCCAATCAATCCTAGAACCACTGGTCATGGTGGCCCAGTGGTTTAAGTTCAGATTACCAAGATTGAAGCTGAGAGGTGCGGGTTCGATCCCAGTTCTGTGTGCCAGTTTCTGGTCAGAATCGGCAAGGAGGCCGAACGGCTAAGCAAAGAAAAGTTGAAGCAGTGAGTTGCGAGTTGAAGCCCGCGACATGCTGTGTATGTTCTGCATTGTATAGAATCCGCGACAGGCTTACGGCTTAATAAACGCTGAAACCGCTATATTATTATTATAATTATTATTTATTATTATATATATTATAATACAATAATAATTTCTAACCACAAAGTTCAGAGTTAAGGAATATTGTCAGTATCATTAATCGCTGAATATTTTGCTAAAGACGCTCTAGGGATTGTGAAGGTTCAGCTGCGCACCATACCCTGCTGAGAATAATAAAATGTCGGATAAAAGTCGATGCAGAAATAATGAAAAATTACAATTATTCTTACTTCTGCATTAGTTGTATAGATCTAGTTTTTACTATCCACGAGCAGTAGAAGGTAAATTTGAGATATAGTGATCTCCGAAATAGGTATAATCATGGTTAAACTATATACTAGTTCAACTATGGGTATAATATGTGCTATTGGTTACAGATGGCAAGTAATTTCCGTTTAAATTTCCGGTTTGGCTTACACAAATTCTATGAAGATGGATAGCGTTACGAATTTTGTTGGTCCGCAGGTTGACGTGGTTCAGCCTTCAGCGTCGTAAGCAAGAATTTCAAAGCTTACATTTGTTTTGGTGCGATTAGTCCGAGAGCAAAAGCACAATAAAAGATGATCATAAGAATTTTCTCATAAGTTTCTGACCTAAGCAGATAATTTTAGAGTAAATTATATACAATGGCTGCAAATGTAAGTATAATATTAAATTCTAATTGACATAATGATGTTACATTTGACATTTGGTACGTACTTTTTTTTTTTTTACGAAAAAAATGCACTATGGTGCTCGCCATAGAGATAGAGAATGAATGAATGAATGAAGGCAGGAAGGCATGTGTGATGGTGTGAAATTTAATATTCGAAACTTCAATGTCAGGTTTACGAGAAAACGTTCAGCTGTGTGTTCTAGTAAATGAAAGAAAAAAGTAAATGAAAGAGACATGAGTGAGAAGTGATTAAAAGAAATTTGTGTGATTTTGGACTTTGGTGGACGTGGTTGGTCATGAATAGCTAACTGACTAAATTGTGTGACTAGTGACTACGGCCATACCCCAGTCTGTAGAGTATGGCACAACATAGGTCGAGGACGCCATTATTCTGCCCAAAAGACACCAAGGCACCATCTAATCGGACGGTGGACGCCATTGTTTGCATCGAGTGGACGGCAAGGACTCTAGAATTGTAAATTGGCAGGAAGATTCTAGCTAATATAAGGGCGACAATGAAACTGTTAACTGCAAAATAAACGTAAGTTTAGAATTGTAGTAATAGTAATGATCATTTAACCATTTCTTGATGATCATTTAACCATTTCTTGATAGATATATTGACTAGAACCGCTGCAACTCAGCCTATATTGGTTAATAACCGCCAACGATGGTCTTTACTTTTATATTGGTTAGGTTGGTTAATGATTATTTAAAGGTTAACAAGGTTAATTAATAATTAGGTAAATTCATTCTAGTGGCCATTATTATGAACAATTCATTATTTAATCCAGATAATCTCACAACTGAACCGAAGAACTAAGGGTACACCTGAAATATGACCGAACACCGGCCAATCGGTCAAAATTACCATTAGAATCTTATACATCTTATATACAAATTAAATGTGTAATTGTAACAAGAAAACGTTCGCAGTACAAAATTATGTAGTTAACACAGCCAATTAACGACCGTGTCTCATCGACATACCACATTGGATGTCAGGAGTGTACATGACACGGGGTGACTAATCGACCAGGAAAGTGAATCCTATTGAAAAAGTGCTGCATGAGAATCTTGAAGACTGTGGGTACATTTAACCGCCGTGAAAGTTATGGTTATCTGGAGGAATGGTTACTAAAGCTACAGCCACTAAAGGAAGATGATCTACAATGATCATGTTCGGGAGTACATGATTGTTTAAGATTCAGTAGCTGATGTTCAAGAATCATCTCTTACGAACCACGAGGCATGCGATCTCTAGATATTTCCTTAGTGGGGAACAATGCATTTGTGACTTCATTTCGAGGGTCACAAGATTAGGATGGAATAGTCGTAAGTTGATGGTAAGCTAACATTTTTTGACACATGAAATTCGNACTTTTTTTCTAAATAGTTGGCTGAAGACTGAGAAATATATTAAATGCAAGAATTTCAATCTAAATGTGTCGGCAAAATCTTCTGAAGGCGAAAATTTTGCCGATAATGCGTTGCCGTAGGTCTTTAAATCTTCGTTCACTCTCTGCACAGTGGGCGTAATGCATACGTTTTTTTATAGTTTTTCATTTCTCGATGCGTCCTTAAAGTGTCGGAATATACCGCGTTTACCCTACTCAAGATGTAAATAAATTTATTACATATGATAATACTGGAGGCTGTAGCTGGTATTTACAATACCGTATTTTACTAGTCAAGTTAGGTCTGTTAGGTATATGACTCGAGAACAAATTTGGTATAAAGTTAAAAAAGTCTCTGCTTTGATACTATCTGTGCTACATTACAGGATTGGAATTTTCTTACTTTTTTTCTGAAATCTCGCAGCTCTGACATAAGGAACTTTTTATATATTTGGAAACTTGCGGCCTGTACTTTGGTTAACAAATAGATATGAAGTACTGTCAAACGGGGTAATAAGGGATGGGTGGGGTAAATTGTCATGCACGTCCTACATTTTGTAGAAATGTTGTAGCAGCTAAACTGCTAAATTAATAAAAATATTGCAAAACTGAAAATGGTGGTGTAAACTCCAAAATTTTCACTATCAATTATGTATCAAGCTAGTTAAGAAATTATACATTTACTATCTCTTAAAAATTGCTGAAAAAAATTGTGAAAAGTGTGATTTTGGAAAAGTACCTTTAGTTAGGTCTGGAGCAAAAAAATATTTGCTGTATTAAAAAATTTTACTTACATAAAAGTTGCACACAGATGTTGGCTTCAAAATGTGATTGACAAAATTTGCCTATCTCATTCCAAAAAATACTGGGCGGTTCTAAATTAATCTAGAAGCAAAATTGATCTAAAACTAAGTTCAACAATTCAAGCAATTATATTTACTATTTCCGATTAAGCAGCACAAGATAAGAAAGTGGATGCATTCCCAGGCTAACCTTTTCAAACAATTAAATTGAGGACTGACAATGAATAGCTGGCACCCGTTGATGCACGGCACCCGTTGACGCACAACGATTAACGTACATAGCGAGAGTTGGTGACAGGTATACTGAGGTATTCCGGAATCCAGAGTTATACTGTGATAAAGGAGTGGATTTTATTTACAAGTATGAGATTGAATTGGGCATATTAAAGTTCTGAATAAGATCCAAGTTAATTTCCATTTAATTAGGCAATAATATATTCAAGTTAATTCAACTTACTAACTTCCTAAATTAATGCTGCTGGCTGTGGCTGATTATACAAGTGGCATGAAAGCCTTTCAGGGGTAAATTGTTAATAGGTGCAAGTACAAAGAAATGAAATACTGGCCAGCCCAACTTAAGGGTAACAAGATAAGTTTTAAGCGTTAAATCGCAAAGATAGGCACAGAGGCCAGCAATGATGCCAAGAATAATAAATGTGTCAATGACACCTAGATTGTTGGGCCAGACCAAAAAGGTAACACTGCATGCATTAATGTAGCAAATTAGAGCCCGTGGCACACATTAAATCAAATTGTTAATAGGAAATGATCAAGGTTACACCAAGTTTACAGTAGCAAATGCTGCATCAAAGAGCAATTTTAGAGTAACTTCCATGCTAATCCTCTTTTTAACCAAAAAACTTCTCCTCTGAAATAGTCTTGCTCCAAATTCAATCTCCTTGGTCTCAGTTACATTAAAATAGAACATAATTTCTGTTAAACAGAACAAACTGAACAAAAATTCAGAACAAACTGAAGTAATGCATAGAAAGAGAGTAACTAGATGTAGAAAATGCACCTAAGTTAATGGCACATATGCATCTGGGAGAACTACACCACAAACACTCTCATTGGACATCAGCATCCAGAACACTGCAGCAGCAACAACCCTTGGCTACAGTTGAATAAGCTCTCATTCATTTGACTCTGCTACAAGTTCTCCTTTTGATGGTAAACATATGAGTACCTACTTTTATTGTCAATGATTGATTGATCTGTTCATGTGTTAAGATTGGATTATAATTGAGATTACATGTACAGATTGAGATTACTGTATAACAATTTATTTAGCTATATATTTTAATGTTGCAAGCTGGAAATTTTGGTAAAAATGTTTACACACATCACTGCCATTTAATAATATTTTTACATTCCAACCTTCTGATGAACTTGTACACATAGTATTTGTGCTTCTCAATTTATCTGTAGCAACAACCACTTGTTACCTTCACCACTATTTGAAATGGGAACACATTTGTACTACTTTTGTTTATGTATTTGTGAGTAATTAATTTTTTCATAATATTTAAGAAAAATAAGCTATTATTTATTGTCAATAATGTTCTAACAATCAAATTTTCCTCAGGTCCCACTTCTGGAGAGTGATGATGTCTTAGAATTTGGTGAAGAGGATGAGCCCAAAGGACGCTTCAAGTAAGTGATNTATATGTTTAAAATTTTTGTTTTCTGAGATAGGTACTAAATATCACTGCATTTTATTTGCTTTAGATTCTAAAATTCTCAGCAGATAACTGATTTGGAAGAAAACAGTTGTGAACTTGTGCCTCTCATGAATACTTCCTTCAAATGTTGTGTTTGCTTCTTTGTTTATGAGCCAGCTGGCTGAGTCTGCCAATCTAGAATAATTTTCTAGATATTTGGTCATTATTAATAAGATTAGATTGAAATAAGTTTTATTTGTAGGTCCCTCTGATGAACCAATAGCTTGCTAATTAGGAATTAGAATTAAAAAAGGTTTTTGGCTGAACACTGTGGTTCCACTGAGTAGCAAAGTTTGTGGCTGCAACGTAGTCAAATATTAGATGTCATATCTGTTGAATGCCCTGTTAACAGTATGGTTCAGTGAGAAATGATAAGTATCATGTGAGTGGCATTGATTGTAAAGGAGTTCATTTATTTAATTGTTTTCCTTCTTCATGCACCAAAATTGCTATCACTTGCCTAGAATTTTTAAAATAAAATGTAGAAAAACAACAATCCACCTCCATTACCAATAATCTATTCCATCCCATTAAAGAAATCCTTGTTTTTTTTTTTTTGAATAAACCATTTTATTTCATCCCCTTTGTAAAAAAATTATTTTATTCAAGTGCGCTGCTACAGGATTTTTATATTGCAGAAACAGCTGTGTAACAGCTTATGCAGCTAAAATATGAGAAAATGAACAAGTTAATAAATCATGCATTTCTTCATTTAAAATAAATTCATCCATAAAGTTGAAATAATAAGGGAAATTGTTAAGGCAAGCAAGGATAATTTTTCAGGAAGTAGATAAAGCCTTGCTATCTAAATTTTAATGTACCTATTTTCAATTTGAACTAAAATTAATTTTAATGTGTATTATATTTTATTCATCACAAAAACATTTTTTTTCAAATCTATTATTCCTCTAAATGTTTCTGGTCAAATTCATTCAATTTTGTGACTTTTTTTCTGATATTTTTCAAATAAAAATACATAAAATGTTTACCTCAATCAAATATTATATTCGAAATTAAGCTTTAAATGTAACTATTATATTCCTTTGTGTATAGATAGATTTATCTCATGAAACTTGCTCGTTTTTCTTTGTTCTAATATATTATCATGATGAAGGACTTCTTCACTTGTTAGATCACACCCTCAATGTCATATTCATTGTTGTGAGATACCAGCATTGGTTATTAAATACGTATATATTCCAGACATCCCATGGTGGTGCTGTTCCATGTAGGCTTCCGCAGTGCCGCTCTGGTTGTGTATATGCTGTGTGGCTGGTTTGATGTCAGCTTCATAGGAAGTTTTGTCACCACCATTCTGCTGCTCTCCATAGATTTTTGGACTGTCAAGAATATTACAGGTATGATACACACATGCTTTACTTGCATGAATTTACCCTTTGTTTCTTTTTTTAGATTGGTTCTTTATATTATTGAAAATAGATAGATTACACATTACTAATCAAGTTATTCTATTAAAAAATACCCTGAAATTGTCCACAAATAGAAATACTACAGAAATTTATCTTTTGATGGAGTTGAAATGTAGTTGAAAAAAAAGCAAAATGGCAAGGCAGGAGAGTTCTTGCTATGTTTTGGTAAAGATAGCATGCAATACATTTTATTTTAAGTGAAATGTATTCAGTGTATATTGCAAACTGCCAGTGATAACCAAAAACTGTACCTTGAATCAATCTCATGACCCTATGTAATTTGTCACTAAAATTTTCAATTAACAATTTTTTGTTGAACTAGGCCGAATTTGTGATAATGTGTTTATTTACCTATATTTACTGTTACTTTAGATCACAGTTTGGATCCTGTGTCTTATGTAAGTTCTTGCTGAAATACACTATTTTTCATGTAATACTATGTATTATATAAAATTGAAATTCTAAAGTAAGAAGATTTGAATATTTCATCTTGATCAAAATTATGGTGATATTTTGGTATAAATTATTAATTTCAGTCAATGTTTTTTACCATGAATCATCACTTTATGTTTACCTTGCTATAAAACTTGCTGGAAGATTTATTTGTTCACTATTTTTTTGTGACTTCATCTCATAATATGCTGATACACATAGAAAATGAACAAAGTGTTGGCATTTATGTTGTCATTTTTTTTAGGTCGCATTCTGGTTGGCCTGAGATGGTGGAATTTTATTGATGAGAAGGGACAAAGTCATTGGGTTTTTGAGGCCCGCAAGGTAAGCTGGGCAGGATTTGAGTACAAACAAGAACTTTAGGGAACATAACCTGATAAAAAGTACACTCTTCTTTCATCTTTCTCACATTTTAATTGGCAATCAGGACCCAATGTTAATGGACACTAAATAAAATGGTAAAATTTATTGGTTTAAATTACTTAATTATTGAGCGTGATGCAGAGCGCAGATAAGCTTCAAGTATTCTGAGTTCTGAGCACACTTGATGTGTAGGAAAAGAAGTTTCTCATGTTGTCATCTTACCTGAAAAAGTTGTCCTTTCAAGGAAGACTTAGTGCTGGGGGCTTTTTTACAATGCTGTTTATTACAAAAAACCTCTGCATAAATAAATTTTCTTTAATTTGAAGAAATGCAATGAATGTAGATGAAGATTTGCTACGAATGTGTTTCCTTTTGAAGGCACAATTGATTACCTCAATTATTGTTGTTGACGTGATTGCTTCTCTTCTGTATTTCTTCATCTTTTTTCTCTTTGTAGTCAGTATTACTGCCTGCTTGAATTAATTTTGAATGATTGATTTCATGTCATCCAGCTTAAATTCAATGTGTTAGCGATTTTTAGTTTTGAAAGATTCCTTATTTTAATAATGCAATGATTATTTGATAGTGATGGTGTTAATTTCATATTGGCTCTCATTTAGATTTTCTCAAAAAAAAATGAATACCGGTAATATTTTTAATTCGAATAGATGGTTTTGCTGCTCCGATTTTATAACTCTTGAATTTAAGTTAATTTGATAGCAAATAAACTACCTACATTATTTAGTTTGATATAATTTTTTTCATGAAGTTCTAAATGAACTGAGCAATTAAAAGAGTGGCTCCTAGATAATGAGGTTGCATTCAGTGTTGGCATAGTAAAATTTTGTGGTTCTTGACCCATTCTTTCAAAACTCGCTAAGTGAACGTAAGTACTTACGCTCTATTTTCTTGTCTGTGATTGGTGGATTTTGCTTGAAAGGCCGTCAATGAACGTAAGTACTTACGCTCTATTTTCTTGTCTGTGATTGGTGGATTTTGCTTGAAAGGCCGTCAATGATTGGCTGATTAACTTACGATCTCTTAACTTTCTTTGAAAGTATGGGCCCAGAACACCGGGCAACGTTGTTTGTTATGCTACCCAATTAATTAATAAGTATGACTTTTATATCATTATATCTGGATCGATAAATTATGTATATAGGCCCTTGACCCGCAGTGACTCTCTGATTCATTGATTTTTTTATCACATGTGTTGAACTCTATGTGACTTTTTTTAGGACATTGCTCATGAGTGATAAAATAAATATTAATGCCAGGAATGAAAGAAATTATCCGTTTTATGTACTTCATTTTCCTGAGCAACCTTCTTCAAGATTTATTAACTTGCAGATCCTCAAATTGGTGCAAGTCTGATGCATTCCCATGGCTTTTTCTGCATATCTTTACCTACTTTATTTAATCTATATTAAAGTTTGATATAGGTTTAGAGTTGCCAATTTAGCAATTTGTCTATAATTCTGATAATTAGTTGAATGAGCATAATTCCAACTTTTTATAGATTTCTCATCATCAGAAATTAAATGGATAGAAAAATAGACCAATTTAAACCACTTATACCTCACAAGTCTTCTTTCCTACCATAAATCTAACTAAATAGCTGTGTATACCTTAATTTATGCAAGCTTTAATTTTTTTCAATGCTAAGTATAAAAATTTTATATTCAGCAACTAGTTCTTTCACGATTTTCTCCTCGAAAGATTAACCACAAACGTGTTGCATTTTTAGCAACACTGATTCCATCCCACTGTTAAATGCTGACTCTGAATAATAACTGCACTTCAGTGTTTTGTCCAGTATTTTATTATGATTCATCAATTTATCTTTTATGCAGGTTTGATTGAAGACCAGAGCATTATTTTTAATTAACAAAAGTAGGCTCTGGTCTTCAATCAAACCTGCATGAATGAAGAACTCCTGCCTAACTACACCAATTTATCTTTGTATATGTCCTATTGAGGCATGCATGCTCAGTAAATTTATCTTTTTCATGCCCTTTTATTGCATGCTCTATCAATAAATTAAACTTTGTATTCATTGTAGTGCTGCATGCTTTCTCAATAAAAATATTACTGTATTTGTCTCAGTATTGCAAGCTTTCTCACTAAATAGAACCTTGTATTTTCGTCAGTGTTCCACTCTATTTGCTGCAATAATAAGTTCATAACTGAGGTCAGAGATGAGGTAGCCACAGTGGTATGTTTGTGATGGTGCAGAGCGGTTCGCAGGGACGCGTGTCCAGTACAGAAGCCAGAATATTTTGGACGGCGCTGGTGGTGTTCCCGGTGCTGTGGGGGGTCATGCTCTTAGTGGCTGTCGTCACTCTCAAGATCCGCTGGTTTGTGAGTCCACTACCTTAACAGCTTTAGGAAACCATTCCGTGGAGTAATTTTGGTTCATTAATGACATTAGAAGATAAGGAAGAAATGCCGAATATTTTTCATTCCTGCTGATATTTTTTTCTGATTGTCCTCTAGTTCGTGTTACCTGTTAGCTGGGACTCGATTCGACTTGATTAAGTAAACTTGTTTATGCATTTCAAGTCTTAAATGTTTTTATAAGCACCAAGTCACACTACTTGAACAATGTTATTGTATTACCTCTTAGCTTCAAAGAATATTCCATTACATATATATTCTGATGTCGTGTTGTCATCAGTTGTTATCACACAGTGTTAATTTGTTTTCCTGTACTGGGGCCATACTTTCAAAACTCGCTAAGTGAACGTAAGCACTTACGCTTTATTTTCTTGTCTATGATTGGTAGATTTTGCTTGAAAGGCCGTCAATGATTGGCTGATGAACTTACGATCTCTTAACTTTTTTTGAAAGTATAGACACTGGGGTGCAAATTACCCATGTTTTGCTGACTGTGCTCACCCACGCATCAGGTGCTGGACTGCATCGCGCTCTCGCTGAACTGCAGCAACTTGTGGGGCTTCGTGAGGTGCAAGGCGGGCGGCAGCGAGACCTCCGTCACCGACTCCGTCAAGAACATGGCGTCCAGTCTCATGCGGCAGCAGATGCTGGCTAATGTGAGCCTGTCAAAACTTCATGATCATTTAACCATTTCTTGATGATCATTTAACCATGGCGTCCAGTCTCATGCGGCAGCAGATGCTGGCTAATGTGAGCCTATCAAAACTTCATGATCATTTAACCATTTGTTGATGGATATATTGACTATAACCGCTGCAACTCAGCCTATATTGGTTAATAACCGCCAACGATGGTATTAACTTTCATAATGATTAGCTTGGTTAATAATTAGGACCTAATTTTAATTAGGAATAGGTTAGGTTAATTATTAATTAGGTAAATTCATTGTACCGCAGAACTGATGGTACACCTGAAATATGACCGAATACCGGCCAATTTGTCAAAATTACCATTAATATCGGTCTTAGATACAAATTAAATATATAATTGTACATAACAAGAAAACGTTCCCAGTACAAAATTATGTAGTTAACAGAGCAAATTAACGACCGTTTCTCATCGACATTGGATGTCAGGAGTGTACATGACACGGGGTGACTAAACGACCAGGAAAGTGAATCCTATTGAAAAAGTGCTGCATGAGAATCTTGAAGACTGTGGGTACATTTAACCGCCGTGAAAGTTATGGTTATCTGGAGGAATGGTTACTAAAGCTACAGCCACTAAAGGAAGATGATCTACAATGATCATGTTCGGGAGTACATGATTGTTTAAGATTCAGTAGCTGATGTTCAAGAATCATCTCTTACGAACCACGAGGCATGCGATCTCTAGATATTTCCTTAGTGGGGAACAATGCATTTGTGACTTCATTTCGAGGGTCACAAGATTAGGATGGAATAGTCGTAAGTTGATGGTAAGCTAACATTTTTTGACACATAAAATTCGTCAGAAATTCCTGCAGGGAGGCATTTTTAAGTATGGAATACGGGAATATTGGCGAGGTATTAAATTTACTGGTGAAGTTTACTGTTCAAGATGTTTAAACGATATCAGTTTATTGATATTTATGCGGTGTTGTAAATCTCTCCTTCTTATGTGTTTACTTACGTTACGTAGCGCATCGAGAAACCTAGCCGTCTTGAGGTGTTTTGTATAGACTGAGACAAAATATCTAGTATCCCACATCAGTAAAGATATTAACTGCACTGACTCTACTTTGCCCTCGTTTCCAATAATTTGAGCCTAGGTTGATGTAACAATAACATCTGACTCCGTTTCAGTAATAAAATACTTCCTTGAACTGCAGATTATCGTCTTTACATGTTACCGATGCATGAAATGGAACTTTTAATTTGTTTAAGTTCAGCTTGGCAATGTCCTCTCATGAATACGTTTTTTCAGATGGCCTCGATGTTCACCCGTTCTCCGCCGAATGCAGGAGGCTCAAACTCGAACGTCTGAGGCGAAGACTTGATAAATCTAAGCTTTGTTGTTCAAGTGCTGCACAAGCAGCTGTTGCTTATGCAGGTGAATCGAAAATACGTTGTGGTTCCTCTCTTTTCTATGAAAGTTTACCTATAACTATTGTTCCTTTCATATTTTTCATGTTTAAAAGTGAAGTTTATCGTTTATAAGTACGCAGTCTTATTTTTATATTATTTGTTGCTTTGCATAATTATGAAAACTAGGATAAAGTGAGTTATTTTTATTATTTCTAATATTCCCTGAGTGAACTTTATTCCCCCATTCATTTATTAGATATTAACTTCACTGAAACGCACCTCAGTTGATTGTGAACTCGGAAATTAATGCTAACACATCATTAGGGTATTTAAAAGTTACAAAGAATCTACTGAAATTAGACTAAACAAGAGCAAGACGAGCGAATCAAAATGATCGATAGCTTTTCATGCGCGAAATTTATGTTGATGCTTACTTGCAATTTTTTCATCTTAAACTGTGGTAACCTTGTTTCTGATTTGGTTCTGTTCGTGGTCATGCAAATTTGCACCTTTATTTAGTATTGGAGACTAGGGGGACTAATTAGTAACAAGGCTAGTGCAAGTAACCAGAATTTTTTTACACTAACATGTGTAAGTTTGACACAGTGGCGTTCCTTTCGTCTGGGACGGAGGACTTGATAAATCATACATCGTATTTCTTCTGCAATATGCTCCTTACACACATAATCGATTTATTTTCAAATTCAGATCGATTTGGTTCGCATTAAACTTAATTTTCCAAACCAGCTTTCTTATAGAAAACTTGCAGCACAATAAAATTTCGAGGAATATTATTGTGAATAGCACCCTGCCTTTAATATTTCTGCCCTTATTTTTGACAGATACCAGATGTGCTTAAATGTATGCTGTGTTTATATTCTTTACCGATGCACGTCAACCTCGTATTTATTTTGTCTATTTGGGAATAAAGTTGAAGTTGGGAATAAATTGTAGCCATCGATTCAAACATGCATGCATTGAGAGGGATCATTGCGCATTGGTTGCCATCTCGTGTTCGTTGAGAGAGTCCGGTTTTAAATCGTTTTACTTAATATCACTGCACATTTTTATTCCTAATAATGTATCGGCTTTGCTTGTGAAGGTTCGTGCGATTAAAGTAATTAAACTTTCATCGCAACGCACGACAACTTGTGACGTGAATCACGAGTCGTATTTTGTGGTTGCATTTTATCTGATTTAAATACAAAAAATTGAAATACTTCAAATGTATTTCGAATAAGAGGAAAAGAATGACCCTGATAAATAGTTTCCTCTGATTGAAAGTTATAGTATCTTGAATCTAAATCGAAATTTCCAAGTATTTATTGAAATAAAAGTTTTGAGAAATTCTCATTTCATTCAACAACACCGCGAAGCTGTAGTAACTGCATCAATTTGATCATGAGTAACTCATGCCTCAGTACATCTATACAAACCGAGGCTGTTCACTGGCTTCGAGGTTGAGCTGGGTTGGAAAATTTACCCTGAAGGCTTTCAAAAGACGACTGGACGTGTACCTGTAACACGTCAGATGGTCGTGAATGTATGCTCTGTTTAAAGATTCTGTATCTGAACGCACCTGATTGTTTCTGCCTAACGTGAAGCTCAAGAACGAGACCGCAGATCAGGTACTCATGAAGACACGGTGTTTTGGCCCATGTGACTAAGGACCCGATATTGTGAACATTCGGACCTGAATGCGGGAATTTGGCGATGATTTGGTATAGGTACATCGAATCGCTGGCTCCAACTCAGCTGCAAGCACCTCGCGTCATCAGCCCCGTCTGCAAGCCGCCTGCGACTTAAGGAAGGTATTGTTGCTTCTCGAATGTTCGCTTCAATGGCGTCGACAAATAATTAATTGTACAGCGATCGCAGCCACTCTTGTCCGAGAGCTGCGATGGATGCCACTCTTGTCCGAGAGTGGTGTCGCTCGCACCACTGCACTCGGCATGTGGTCGGCACCTGATCGCGGTTTCCTTCAAGCTTACTCCGCTTTCGTTACAATTTACGCATGCCATCTTGCCCCGGGTTTCTGTCTTCTGACCGATCCAATTTGGTAGTTGAAGGACCAATATTTTCTTACATTCGACAGTCGCTGAGTTGGTCGAGTCATCAGGCCGAACGCACATCATGACTAAAATTTCACCGAGAATTTTACACCGAGGTACGGGCTAAATCTAAACATTTCATACAAAAACCGAGCGAAAATATTTGCGTGACGTACAACCCATTCTCACACCGTAATATACGTGTGAACATATCTGAATAAGTATCTGTATTTACCGTCAATCCGCAGTATTCCAACGACTCAAATTTATCGGTTCATTTCTAGTAGTACGTATTCAAAATCACAAGTAAGAGCACATCTGTTTGGGATCGTTAAAAAGATAAACAAAATACCTTTTCTCCGTTTTACCAACAAATACCGTACAATTTTTCAAGTTCAACAGAAAAGCAATGTCTACGAACATTTTTAGATGCACGAGATAGAAAACATTTTCAAATGCACAAAATAAAAGACATGTCTTCGAATATATCGCCACTAGATATATAAACTACAATCTTCACTGAGAATCGAATACGCTCGGGCTTTGAAAAGTATCATTTGAACACAAAATTGTAAAAAGTTTCAATAATAAGAAAGTCGCTGATAAAAGTTATTTTTTCATTCAAAGTCATCGATTAGTTAGTTTAGTGGCCAAATGTTTACTAGCGCTTCAGCTATTTAGCTATCTCGCACCGAAAGTCAAGATGAACATCACCATATCGATTATTAAAAGCACGAGTCTTTAAATAAATTAAAACAAACACATTACTGCAACTCGGCGTCACAAGCTGAGGCGAATTCCCGCTAAAATAAAGTGATTACCAATACGGTTATGAAGGCGCAGAGAATCCATTATCTTAACGCCGCTTAATTCAAAAGACTGGATTAAACAAAGCCATTAATTACAAATAATATATACACACAAACGAGTATCCGAGAAATCTATAGTACATACAATAGGGCAGCATGCCAGAGCCAAGCTCATTCAGCCTGAACTTGAACGGAAAGCATTTCTACTTGGTTGCAGAAACCTGAAGAAAGTCCCAGGAAATTCTTTGCAAGTCATCTTCTAAAATTAAACTGCGACTCACGCACGTGAATGACCAGATTTACAACACAAGCGCGAGGAATAAGCCAGGCTTTAAATGGTGGAGTCCATTACTTGCAAGGTGAGACTTTAGGAATCTATCTAGCACTTCAGCGTCATAACAATTTCTAGCGGTACACGGAAATTTTCAAAACAGTTGTACAAGTGAGAAAAACCACAAACACTAGGTCTGAAGAATAGTAATAGGACAAAACTTCAGGACTGATTAATAGTTTTTGAAAAATTAAAATGGTCTAAGCGTTTTTTCTGCCCTAAAATACAATAACCAAATGGCAAAACAACCAAATGGACGAGCCCCAATTAGATAGTGAGAACGCAATAATGCAACCAATAAAAATTCATTATCACTATGATATTAGGGAGACAGTAACCTTAAGGATAATGAACATAGACGTACCCTGGATTAAGGCTAATGATTTGAAAACAATAATGGAGTACGAGTGAAGGACTAAAATTAATCGCCCGTATGTAGATTGTTCACTCGTCAACACACCTGGCCTCAACATGGGCAGTGCTGTAAACCGCGGAAAGCATGAATCCGGAAAGAAACGCCATAGAGCGTACCGAGAATTCCACTTAACCCATGGTTGAACTATATAAGGTTGGCTCACGAGGATTTCCGTCTTTCAGTTCAGCATTCTTGTTCCGTCACCGAGATCCGTGACGTCACAGGCGAACCACAAACTACATCCGCAAAAATGAGCTTCTCATGGATCAACCTTGTACTAATTCAACCATGACTAAACCAACGTCCGGTTGATTCGTCAACAAGTGGTGTAATTAGAAATTATGGGAACAATTGCATATGGACAAGTGTTGAGACGCAGAATGGCTCGAGTAACTGACCACAGTGTATGCAGTGTAAAATTCTTGAACGTTCAAAAGAACTCGCCATTCAAGATATTGTTGTGGTCTAGTACACAAACTAGCTACACTTGTATAAAGCTAGAAAAAAGTTATCACAATAGCATTAAAGTTGATGCGGTGGTTGATGTGAGATATGCATTTAGAACGCAATCTGGAAATCACAAGGCGTTATGGCGATCAGAGATCGTTTTGGGCTCACTCAACTAAACTTCTATTGCCTACATTGATCATGATGCTCCATCCATCATGTCGCCATGATACACGTAAATATCAACAAAATCAACGAAGCTGGAAATTGTGCAATTTTCCCAGTACAGGAATGCTCAAAAGATGAATTCGTTAGATTTTGTAAGTTTTTACCTCTCATTGTACTAAAAAAATCACTGGCTCGGAGACATAACAGCAGCTCGGTTGAAGGTAATCTCACTTGAGCAACATTCTGTAATATTTCTCCACCTGCCATACATATATACTAAACACGGTGTAGATAATTGCTACATGCGTCTTTGATGAAGTACGCTGACATAACTAAGTATCATTCCTTGAAAGCTTGTATACATCAATAATCCGAGATCAACACTACTGTCTAGTAATTGTTCTGGCATGTATGGAAACCTCAACACCGTATACAGTCATAATGGTTTAAGAGCTGATTAGGCCGTTAAACCTGTCGCAGACTCTTAACATTGCAGAACATTTCACAGCTTGTTGCGGCTTCAAGCATGCAACTCGCTGATCAAATTTCGCTGTGCTACACCGCTCTGCCTTCTAGCCATTTCTAGAATAATATTCGACAATGAGAACAATTATTAGGGATAATGGACATTAATTCAAAGTTCACCAATGGGTCATTTAACACCAATGTCCTAGACATGAATGAAAGTGACCGTTGAAATCAAGTGACATGAAAGTAGAAGACTAGCTGAGAATGAGAGTACATGTACAACATGAGAAGGGACGTTCAGAGCCTGACTCGCCCACACATTGCAATAGCACAGCGCCACGATTAGCTAACTCGTAGTCATGCCTACTTGCTCAAGCAGGCATGGCATAAATGATAGTTCAAGAAAGCATAAATGATGGTTTACGATTAAGGACTTATAATGTGCGACTTCTTTCACAGTCTGCGGGAGTCAAGCTTGACATTGATGAACAAGGAGAAACGTATCGTTAAAAACTAACACTGAACATCAGCCTGCACCTTATATTCACTCGTGACAGTTCGATGTATTAAGATACTGAGCTTATCAAAATGACACTTAAGTTCCTACAACAACGAATTTACAAAGACAGCAAACACATAGAGGGTCTGCTCAAAACAAAGTATAATTCCTATCAATAAGTACCGATTTAATGATTAAAATCTAGCGTTGAACTTTCAATCATCTAACAAATTAAAAAAAATCAACTTACTCCCAAAACTCAGCACCCATCAAGTAAACAAAGCGTCGAGAATGTACAGTCAGTTAATTCTAATAACGAAAGTTAAAGTATAAAAAATGAAATGCACTTTGAAATCAGTGCATGAAAAAGATCATGACTCGTGCCTCAGACACACGGCATATTTCAATGAATCGACGGTGTGAGATCGTAAGCAAAATGAAAAAATAGGTATGACTGATCTGTCCAACATCATATTGCACTTGCATACTTCATTTTGCAGTGAAATTCCTTTAGCCAAAAATTATTCACCCAGAAGAGACAAAGGTGCATGTGATTCACGCATCCATCAATGCCCACGCCAAATCAATTCCTCAAAAAATATTTACTCATTGAGATATCAATTCTTATAAGCCAAGGAGCGCGCAAACATCATACAGTACAAAAGTTGATTCTAGTTTCGTGTCTGAACCAACATTGAATTGGGCCATTAATCGAGTATCTATAAATGAAACCACAAATTCAATACATGAAATGCACCACGATGCGCTAAATTTTCGTGCAACATGATTATAGTAGTGCCTAAAGGTAATCAGGTAGGCAGAATACTACCAACAACCAGATTTCCTCGCAGTCAACTTGCACCGGCCAAGGACAGCATTCAATACAACACTGAATACCGTGCTTAACTCTCGAATTTTTAGTAATGCTTACCACGAGTTCCTACATATTCAGACCTAAATTCTGATGAATTTCAGTTCTAATCACAAATAGATTAATTTGAAAAATCTGTTTTGTTAACTCAAAGGACAACCAAAGGACAATACTATAAAATAATAACCTCAAACCTAAATCAACCACATACACGATAGATAGTCACGCTGCAAACCGAGACTGAACATCCAATTTGGTGGTAAATATCCAGGCACACTCACTGAAGTAATAAAGATACGAAGTAAATAATGAATTTCGTTAAGAGTTATGATTGTGGGATGGTATCCTTGAGAAAAATAATACAAGGATCGTTAATGTGACTTATCACAACCAAACAGGATAAGTATCTAACTTCTGAGTTATTCTCAAATGATATAATACAAATAAAGACATAAAATGGACTTCAAATTAAAGTATATGCTATTGCTTTGGATCTTTGGTTATATTCTGATTGAGCTGATCATTCTCATATTCAACGAAATCATCAAAAAGACTGGGCCAAGCCTCAGTATCGTCGTAGGTGCTGAGATCATCTCCTATAGTTTCTGAGAAATTCAGAAACATATTCCATGTGTCACGAGGTATTCCTCTAATACTTGGATGACACTCCAAGAAGGCCAGCCAGCGGTCCAAAATTTTAGGCTGGCGCTGCTCAAAAACAAGTTTCCACAGCAATATTGCCATGTCTGCAGGAAGAATTCGTTGACCAACTTCATTATCAAGGCCAAACTTGAAAGCCCATTTATACAAGTTCTTAAAATGGTCAAATTCCTGCACTTCCTTCTGCAGTTCCGGGAATTTCGATATGATGCCCTTGATAGAGTCACTCCTCAGGGACTTACACCCTCTGACAAACTCTGAACGCGTGAACTTGCACATGGTCTCTGCCTCACATTTCCAAGCAAAGAGAAGCACTCTAAAATCGTCAGGACTCAGGTCGAGATCAGCACAAAACCTCTGAATGCCCTCAGTTAACATGACGTCTTCAGTCTCTTCATCAGTGCTGACAGCTTCGAGCTGAGGAGGCTCCCGGTACACATCAAACAATGTGTTAATTTTGGTCTCTGAGCAATATTCCTTAGAGGACGGTCGGCGAGGCTCGTGACTAGTAGGTCGAGAGAGAGGAGGAATCCGGGCATAGAAAGATTTTTTCTCTGCTGAATTGGAGTTGTTTGTGCCAGTAGCAGAGCCGCTCGTGCCCCCAGTGACGCCCATGATGGAAGAGTGTTTTGTGCCGTTACTGCTTGCGTCTCCAGAGAGCCGCCCTCCCAGCAATGTAGTGGAGCGGTCGAAGATAGGTATGCTTGAGGAACACTCAACACTGTTGCGTATTGATGAAGTTTCTGGGTGCTGTGAACACACGTCTCTGCTGTTTGCTTCACCTGGCAAATACAGCAACACGATAGCAATAGTCACTTTAGTAGAATCAAATTATTCCAGGACTAACTTCTAAGCACAATTTCAACTTGCAACTTATTATGAAACATCTAACAGAACAAAAAATTGAAACTTTGTATTCAAAGAATTGAGTATGAAACTCTCAAATATATAATGATCAAGGTTTGAATAAGAATAATAGATTATGGCACCTCAGTGACCTCACTTCCATTAAACACCAAATTCTCATTGAATGCATTAGTTAGATTAAACAGCACACTTGCCGCAGTGAATATCAATAATTAATACATCATTCATGTGATGCATTGCTCTAGAATTTATCACAATAATTGCTGCCAATAAAATTCTATATCAGTCATAAAATGAGTAAAAACTATTCATGATTTTTTACATGTAATGAAACAGTGAGAAAAAAACGAGTTTCATTACCCACAGTAGGTAATATAGAATTGGACAATGTCAAGACAGACAAAGACAACTGCATAAAAAAGTAGAATTAGTAACAAAGAAAGATCGCAAGTAGTAAAGATCGCAAGAAAGATTAGTAACAAAGATCGCAAAGTGAATTTGCGATTCAAGCAAACGAGTGATATTATTACTAAGTAACAAAGATTTATGCAGAAAACGTAATCCTAAGCAGATAAAATGCAAATAGGTTGCTAAATTACAGGTTATAAAGAGACTTGTGGCTGCTACTACATGGATATCACAGATAAAGCTGCAAAACCATTTTATGAGGATCTGTGAATGTGCCAAAGTTAGATAGAGATTATGAATGTCTTATTTTGTATTGAGGCCTGAGAAAGATCAACACTACATCTTCATCAAAAAAGCACAGGATTTTCAAGCCCAGAAATTAGAAATTGGTGCAGTTTTCATGTTTCTCTGAACATGCAGCAGGACAAAAAAAATTAGATCAGTACTCACTGCAGTGAGTGGCAGAGTGCATTTTTTTGTCAGACGGACGGACAGACACAAAGAGCACAATAGCGCCTTTTTCCATAAATGAGAAAATGCGCTAAAAATGAACAAATGCAGATGAGCAACAAGAAAATTAGACATTAGGTTCACAACCATTGCTGAAAACATACCTTTCTGTTTGTGATAAGCAATGGCTATGTTTGTTCTGCTGCCAGAAGTAGGGTAGTGTTCAACAGGCTGCTCAGAATGTTTGAGATGTTGATCGTCCTTCAAGCAGGACAAACACTTCCCCATTGATGTTGAATAACTGGCTTATAAATGCTCATGCCTCAGCCATGATGCTTTTTGAAGAGGTCTAGCCTGGAAAAGTAGAAATTAATTTTAATTGTTTTTTTTTAAACTTGTATACTTTTAATGAAACCTGCATAAGTTAGAGATTNTTTTTTTTAAACTTGTATACTTTTAATGAAACCTGCATAAGTTAGAGATTTTCAGTTTAGGGATGCCAAACATAAGGCAATGTAATATAGATTTTTCCTAATTATACATATATTAAAAAGATCATCATACACAAAACATATCAAAAGGTTTCTTTGTGTAAGTAATGCAAGTTGAAGAAATCACTGTCTTCTTTACAACACTTCTTGTTTGTTTGTCTGTCTGTCTGTCCATTTGCTACAAATCTTATAATCGATATTTAACACACTTCTACCTGTCCAATCAATCTGAAATTTTGCACACTTGCATTAAGTTGGAGACAATGCATGAATCAATTGACAGAATAAATAATTGTATTAAATTAAACAATTTTTTTTCATTTAAAAAATTAAAAGATAATTTCGTCTGCTACAAATCTTATAATCCATATATGGCACAATTTGACCTGTCCAATTGATCTGAAATTTTGCACAATTGCATAAAGTCAGAGACAATGCATGAATCAATTGACAGAATAAATAATTTAAAAAATTTACAAAATTTTGATAATTTTAAATTTTTAAAAATAATTTTTTTCAGTATTTGAAAATAAAATTAGAAATTCATTGTACATGTGTAACATCCAAGACACTGGATTGTTCAGAAGTGTTGTCTTTGAAAATAATTTTTAAACGCATATTATTTATACAAAGAATCTCATAAAAAATACAGAATTCCAGAATATTTTTTTAAATAGAATCCCAGTAACACTAAGACAACAAATCTCTGAAATTCATGTTTGTTGAATGAGCCATAACTATCTTTTTGAGTTTGTATTTGTTATTCTAATTGAACTTTTTGCAGTCATACCAAATTCTTGCAGAAAATCAAAATATCCATAGTGCTGTGTGAACATCTAATGTGGTTAAAACCTGAAAATACAGAAATGACATACGTCATGTCTTACCCTGCTCCTACTGTGTCACCCTAATTCTGTTATGATAAACGTTCTAATCATTTTGTTAAATTTAAGGAAATCCATTATCCATCCCAGATAAAAACCAACAACACAGTAAATTCTATTATAACATTTTATAGCTAATTTCTTGTTAATTCATTCTGCAAAGGTAGCAAATTATAATTATGTACAATTCACCCTAGCTAGTGGTGATGGGAATACCACAGATGAGTGGAACAACTATGGCCCAAAAAAGTCAGCAAGCATGGTACATTTGTGTTGCTGACATTTTAGGTTAAATTTGCAACACTCATTTTATCAAATGTAAACTTGCCATCAACATGATTCTGATGCAATTGGCAAATTTTGCTAATGTTAGTGAAGAAAGACTAGCATTTGTGCAAATGAAGGTAAAGCATACAGCATAAAAATATTATACAAGAAAGACAAAATTATAGCTAGGCCAGGGTGCAGAGAGTGAGCAAATGTCTAAAAATCTGAAGATCTTTGGTGACACATCTATTTCATAAACAAATTCGATACCATCAGCATCAAACAGGATAATAAAGGATGAGCGGGCTAAATCAGGACAGTTGCCCCATGTTTCATAGAAATGTTGTAGCAGCTAAACTAATATAAATAATACAAAACTAAAAATAGTGGCAAAAAAGTTCAACATTTTTACTATCTATGTAGCATAACGCAAATTATGAAATCATATATTTACTACCTCTAAAAAATACACGAAAAAAGTGTGAAAGGTGAGATTTTGGAAAAGTACCTCTGCTAAGCTGCTAAGGTCTGTAGCAAAAAAATATTTGCCATATTAAAAAATTTTACTTGCATAAAAGTTGCACACAGGTGTTGGCTTACACACATGATTGACAGAATTTGACTATCATTCCAAAAAAATGGCGGACATTTCCGTACGACAAGGTAATAAGCCTATAAGCCATAAGGGACACCCCCCAGGGTAATAAGGGACACCTGTAAGTCTAACTCTAAAAATGCATTTACAGTAAAACCCCAGTTAGCAAACTAAGCAAAGGCTCCAGTTAAGCAAAAAAATCAATTAACAACAAAAAATTTTGATTACATTTACCTTACCTTACACAGCAAAAAAATTATGATTACATTTACCTTGCACAGCAAAAAAATTTTATGTAATGAAAAATCAATGCATCATTGGTCATCACAAGATTGTGCACAGAATGACATAGATAGAATTGTGCACTGGGCAGGGCACCATAGAATCAAAAGTACGGTAGTTAACCTGAACTATGATTTATATCTCCAAAAAGTATGATTGTTGTCATTAAATCATTCCTTTCTGTTTCAGGTTTGCTTTTTACGATCTTTTTTGTTTTAGAGAATTTACTTGACCCATTTAAAAAAGTGCAAAATTACATGCCGTCCTGCAAGCTTTCAGATACAAAAGAAATGCTATATGGCTGCTGCTATGGAGCTTAGTCAGCTTACTGTCACACACAGTCACAGTGGCCAAGGTTGTTGCAACTTGCAATTTGCAAATGCTCAATCCTCAATGTCAATGGTACATGTCCAATTGTCCATGGTCCATGGATACTGTAACTGGGTAATAGGCCTATCTATCACATTCATATCAATAATACAGTAATGTATAGACAGTATAGATATGGTAATATCATATCAATAGAGGAAAAACGCGTAAAAATAACAGAAAATGCCATTTATTCTATATCTACCTAGGGTAAATGCGGTATATTCCGACATCGTGGGTAATTCCGCCACCTCTCTAGTTTTTCCTTTATATTAGGCTTTGTTTTAGTTCCATGCGTTTGTTGATGTTTGAAATGGTGACGTCATACATTTGCACGTCGAACTACTGCCAAAACACTAGGTCTTGGCCATCTAGCGGGAAAATATTGAGATCCAAAGAGAGACAATGCACACTACCCAGTGAGATCATCAAAAAATGTGTCAAAATGCTCAATCCTCAATGTCAATGGTATATGTCCAAATCCAATTGTCCATGGTCCATGGATACTGTAACTGGGTAATAGGCCTATCTATCACATTCACATCAATAATACAGCAATGTATAGACAGTATAGATATGGTAATATCATATCAATAGAGGAAAAACAAGTAAAAATAACAGAAAATGTCATTTATTCTATATCTACATCAATAACATCATCTACAATTTTAGACTACAAAGGAAGAGGAGGTTTTCAAAGTACAGACTACAGAGTACTGTAAGTCTGTAACTACTGTTATAGTGTTGATAATGGATGACTGGGATGAGTACACTCATTCTTAAAATGTTCTAAAATCAAGTTTTATTTCAAGTGTCCCTTATTATCCCGTCGGACCCTTCTGGCCTCTCCAGGCCCAGGGCCAGGGGTAATTAGGGATGTTTTTATTTTGCATCTGGCATCTGACAAATAGCATATAGAATTTTTTTGGAGAGGCCATTGAAAGTCAGTTTGCCCTTGCAAATACCTTCAAAATGAGCTCAAAGTCAAACTTGTTTATGAAATGTTTCATGGTAAGAAGTTATTAACAAAAAATGCTCAAAACTGTCCCTTTCCTCCCTTATTAGGCCTACCCTGTTTGATGACATTCTATATTACTATTACATTTTTTTTAGGGCTATAGTACAACTTTACAAGTATAGAAATTTAGAAAATGTCAAGCTTACAAGTTAGGTGGGCGGCGGCCTACCTAGGTAACCTACCTACACAGTACTCGACAGTAGGCTACACAGTTAGCTAAGTGAATTACTGGATTTATCACAATTCCGCAGGAGCTAAAAGCCTGAAATTAAGTAAAAATTTTACAAACGGTATGAATTAATCGACCACGTTTGCTAATCAGATAGGTTACACGACAAAAATTAATAATACTCATTACTCAACAAGTTAGAATTTAGCTACGGTAGGTAGCTAGCCTACTGGGAAAAAAACTTTGAAACACGAAAGATAGGCTAACTCACCGAATCTTCCGAACTCAAACTTTTTCTAGGTATCATAATCGTATGCTAACAGAAAATCGTCTTAATCAATAATGTGGATGTAACATGTGAGCAAGCATTGTGACTTCTTCAATTCCATTAGTCAGCTACTAAATCGCTTTAACGATCACTCGAAGTCGAACAGTCGAACCAGGAGCCCATGAGCAGTTAAAGCACAAGTCTAACCCTTAGCAAGTTAGCAGTTCTGGGAGACCCCGACAGGGGCTTTGTGCAGAAGTGCAAGACTGACTGCGTTAACAATAGTTTCTAATTCTATATGTACGGTAATTCGTAATTGTATCGTTTTATGGATATTAGTGACTATCTTACATCGGAAATAAATTTGAAAACCTATTTCACACGAGTGACATGATTATTTGATTTAAATAACGAATTTTGTTCAAATTCGTTTAGGGTCACTTAACTTTTGAGTTGTAACTAGGGCTACCATGTTCAATACCCTCTCAACGAAAATAATTTTCTTCATAACTATGTTGAAATATGCCATGGCGAAACACCGACGAAGGTATTGGCGCCCTCACTGCCTTATATTCAGACAAATTACTGTAGTTGAGCCTTTACAGAAATCGCATCATGGGTTTAGGGTGTCAAAACATGAGTAAACTGATAGTAAGAAAGGAAGGTTCTACTTGCCTTGTGCGGAAGTTACTATGCGCATAGCGGGCAGTCTAGAAATGTTTTATTGTTTAGAGGACGTGAGGTAAGGACTTTGTGAACGTACTATGGGGCCGGTGGCACTGAGGCATGCTTCCAGTCGAATGCGGGTGAGTGATGACTACTGGATTGGGTCGAAGGATTTCAGTGTGAACTGTGAGTGACTCAAGTGTTGGGTTTAATTTGGTAATATGAGTAGGTAAGGAGGACCAGGCGTTGTGCTAAACACTACGGTAATGCTACACAATTTCAACTTATCTTAAGTGTTATCTGCCCTCACTCACAGCACCCAGCACCGTGACAGAATATATATGTACTCTATAAGTAATGGCAAAATAAAAAAAAAGGATAATCATAAACAAGTTTATATGGAAAAATCGCACATTCGCATGAAGTCTGTCTGTATTAAGGTTGGAATCGTAACATATACATCATATTTTGGCCCGTATGCTAAATAGGGCACTAGCACTACAAAGTAGCACTATGCACTACGAAGTGTCCGGTTGGTATGCTAAATACGTCACAGATACTAAGCACTTCGAAGTAGCTCTACAATGTTTAGTGTCGCTTAGTGTCGCACTACTGATTGGTATGCAGAAAGACTTTGAAGTGCTACTTCGCTGTTAAAGTACTTTTATAGTGCCGCACTACGCTATGAGTCTATTGAAGAATGGTAGTTAAGTACTCAAGTAATTAATTATTCCCTAAGAAATTCTCATTCTTTGCAGAAGATTGATGTAAATGTCTAAAATGCTAGCTTATTCAAATAAAATACCTTAGATAATTTAAATATCTTAGAAACTTGGGCTTGCAAGTTAGATGCCAGCAGTATTTTAAATTGAGGCGATGCTTTGTGAATAATTGGATCAAACCTTTGCCGGTTAAAAAAATTATGTAAAAGAGGTCTAAAAAGTAATTGAATAAGTCCTGGATGAACCTAAACCAGGAATTTATTTTGCTCAACCGTCTGATTTGTTGGGGCGTAACAGAGGCAACGTAGGTTCGAAAACTTGGCTACTGGTGCTTTAGGCAAAATTTTATAAAAAATATAATTTTCTTGGGTTGATGCGCTCCGATCAACGCAAAATCAGTCGTCCTATTTTCGGTCAGTGAAGACGCCGTTTTGTGACTAAATAGTTTCAAATTCATATGGTTTAACGTCGGTGCCGGGTAATGAAACCTAGCAAACATAGGAACAAAATATTCAATCGTGGCTAAAATCATATGATGGAAGTAATCATATTTGTACTTAAATTGCCTCGCAAATCTATTTTGATATGACACTGAAACTTTTTACTTTCACAAAATAGGATACTAGTGCATCTTGGCTTCTGTCAGCCCCGTAAACATTTCAGGATACTTGATCATTCTGGGTTGGTTATAGCAAAAACTGATCACTGCGTATGTCCAGAAAAATTTACCCACTCCTTCGATAATTAATTCAACTTATAGCAACAGCGGTTCATCGTTCACACGGCCAGTCAATTTCTATAACTGAGAAATTGGTCCATTTAGCGTTACTTTACTTGTTGCAAAACCAGAATACAGAAGCGCACACACAACTGATTGGAAACGTTCACTCGAGAAAATTAATAATTTTATTTCATTCTGGAAATATCTGACCGCCTTTTAACGTGCACATGAAAACTCGTGCATTCTCCATATACATTCAGTGAATATTCCCACATTACCACGTGTTTCGGATAACGTCTTATCGAGTCTCAGCATCGCACCATCATCTCGGCCGTTTCAACGTCTCCACGACGACGGCACGTCCACGACGTCTCGCCACGCAACCACGCGTATCTCCACTCACCACGCAACCACGTGTGTCCCATCGACCTTCACCACTGGCCTGGCCTTCCAGTTCCTCCTGGATCATCACCTCTAGCAGGTCACGTGAGCTAAACCAATAAATTCACTTTGTCTAATTATTGTGTTGTTACTTATCCCGATCAGTTTCGTCGTACCGCACCTAAACCTTTCTATCCGAATTTAGTGAACAATACAAGTTGTACTGGCCTTAAATAATCCTCTGATACGAGTCTAAAACGACATATATGGATAGGTAACTTAAATAAATAATACCCCATATATTTTTGGTTAAAGTGGCCCAGTGGTTAAAGTTCAGAGTAACAAGATTGGCGCAGAGAGGCGCGGGTTCGATCCCAGCACTGTGCGCCAGTTTCTGGTCAGAATAGGCGAGGAGGCCGGGCGGATAAGCACAGCAGAATTGTTGCGAGTTCGAGACCGCAACAAGCTGTGAATGTTCTGTGATGTTAAGAATCGGCGACAGGCCTACGGCCTCATTAACGATCAAACCGCTATTATTATATTATTATTATATACCAGTCCTTGGTACCATTAAAAGAACGTATAATAAAAACTACGACTATATATGTCGGCGAGTTAGGCTGGTAGTCTGCTAACAGGTTCCTGATACATATATGCACAACCCTTATACTGACTCAGCGTCACTAAATGTCGGTGAAAGACTGGCCCAGATATTTTCTATCCCAGTGAACAGATTCTCAAAGTTCATTTCATGATTCACAAAAGTTTATTTGCTTTCAGGGTTTTTAAAAACGAATCAACCATTTCACTGCGTGTCACTTATATTTAAAAATGTTTACAGTAGATAATTATCATCATTAGATAAGGTGTTCTAATTGCTCACAAACAAGCTTTTCCTTGTCTCCGACAGTTCAATTTGTCCACCAATAATAGCAGAGATCGCACCAGACACGAAAATCAGAACGGAGTTTGTAAATTACGATGAGACGAGTTGAACGAAAACATTCTATTCTAATGACCATCGAGGATATTGGGCAATGGTAGCACGAAACACCGATTCTTTTCGTATGTATTTTTATACATAATAGTAGGACAGGCGATCAACTTAGTATATGAGAGGTTCCAAACGAACCATAAACAATTGAAGAAATTATTTTAAATTTATGAATAAGTAATTATTTCAATGATGACTATTAATTATTTAAATTTCTTTCCATTAAAGAAAAAACTGCATTTCACTTTATTTTTAAAATAACTATATCATATTTGCACAGCATCATAATTTTTTTAAAATCAGAGTCCGATGGAAATTAAAATGAAGTAAATTTAGGAAAAATTACAAAGTAAACTTTGCGAGACGTACTGTAAAAAAACTTGAAGAGGACGAACTAACATTAATAGTTCATAGCAAGCAGACTACACTAATGACTACTGTCAGCACGAGCCTACGAACTACTCTAGTATACCTATTATTCAACGCCTGCGCTTCATAGGTCTGCTGTCCACATCATCAAACCCTGCAACGTTGAATCAGATTCAACTACATTTGGACTAATCCTATTCATTGGTGTCGGCCCAACGCCGTTCATGCCCACGTCTTACATGAAAAATTATTAATGTAGCTCTATGCAAGTACAACTTAAAGTTTAGGAAATACAGGGCTATGACTGCTTCAATTGTTAATAGTCATGTAATTAGACATTCTTTCCGTATATTTAGGTAGACTTTCACAAAGCAATCGCCAACGATCGTTGATAAATGGATACACGAAGTGCGAACACAATCGGTTAGAAAAATTGGTATAAATAATAATAATCAAATTAATTTTCCTCATCATAAATTACATTATTAATTTTATTTCGCCTCATCGTTAGCAATCTAGCAACCCATTCAGTCTTACAGACTGAATGGTTTGCTGGGATGTCTGTATATGTGGTCAAGGGCAGACTTTAGCCACTATGTTGGGTATGAGTAGTCAATATTATATAAGAGGTCACGTACAATAGGTGAAAAATCATCGTGTTCTGATTAAATTGAAGATCATTGCATACAATTTCAAAGCATATTTAAGCATGCCGTTTACATGCTATACTTACTTTACAATTCGCTTGAACTAACTACATCAAATGCAGGAATTGTAACCGTGTACGATTGTCAGAAACGGCATTTTTGCCAACGCACATTTGACAACAAACATATTCTTCAAAACAAGACGCAGAAGAAAAATTTTTGCAAGAAAGAATCAATTTAAGGAAAAGCGAATCTTTTGCATCAATAATAATTTATCGAAAGCATAAACATGTTATACATGTGCCTTATATTCTCAGTCTATATAATGGCGGCACAAAGTCCAGCCATAGATCCGGATAACGCGTAAATTTTTTTTTTCAAATCATTTATTATATTACTGAGATTAGGCATAAGTTGAGAGGAATTATTTTGGATACGAGGCAGAATTTACTCATTCCTGAAGGTTTACTTGTTTAAGAAATATGAACAAGATGTTACCTCAAGCTTGACGATGGAAACAGGGTGCATTTCTCATCTCTTCAGCACTGAGGTTGGTAACGTTAGATTTTTAAAACTACATAGAAACTTATTGATAAATTGTATTTGCATCATTATATGGCTGCATTCAAGCAAACATTTACGCATTTAATGGTAAAGTACTTACAAAATCTCACCAAAAACTCGCATTTCTGCTAATTTCGAAGAAATTCGAAAATTATCTACAAAAGCATTTACGTATGACGCAGATTCAACTATAGCTCTCATCACTCAAGTACGGTACCAATAGTAGTAGATTAATTCAAAGAAGTTGCTATTTATGTATTTTCTTCTGATAGATAACAAATTCACGAGCACAGGAACCATCACTGCTGCAGACAAGGCAGGTACAATAGCAGACTGAATCTAAAGAGTTTTCCGTTATATCGAATTTCACGAACAGTAACTTAGGTTTACATTTTAGAGGCCACAGCATTGGCCAATACCGTCATCACTTCACATTCTTCCCGTACACAAGCAGGCTACTTAGCAGTGAACTTACGTGCTTAAAAGCCATAGGAGTCTTAAGCCAGCAGTCTCACCTAGTCTTCACGACATCTACACCCTAGCATGCACCTTCCTTCACACTTGTCCCGGCTCTCCACCCAAACAAACCTTTCAGCCTTTCAGGACCTAAACTATACTGGCTGGAGCAGTGGCTGCGGTCCCACAGCGCCTATGGCTTTTAAGCCGTCGCGGAACTGGAATGGCTTGCGGTGTTTCTAGCGTGGTCTGCGTCTTCGTAGCTCTGAGCCTGAGTTTAGCTGAGCATGTTTGTACATAGCGTTTGCTACAAAGATTGTTTAAGAGTTAAATTTGTGGCCAACGGTTGCGCACCCAAGTGCTTTACCAAGAAAATTTCAATTTTTGATAATATTGTTTTTTTTTTTGGTTCCCAGCTCTTCGAATATTTGTACACAATTTAGATACTCAAATAAAATATGAAAATAACGTAAGTTTGAAAGTTAAAGTTATTCTTTCGCTTTTCCAAGTTGTTGAATAAATTTTCAGTTTTCACACTTCATAGTTTATACATTGGTGCTTGAAAAAGGGAGACAAAAAATGCATACACTTACTATACTATCGTATTATAAAGTATTTTTAATTATAATTATAATAAAATAAACCTATAATACTCTAGTTAAGCGTTTCTAACGTACTGAGAAAAATAAATTTGAGTGTGCTTCTTCTGACATATCACATCTTCGTCGGTACGTAACAATTAATTATGTTAGACTGCCAGAATGATGGACAGAGCAGAAATGATATAATCATATTATTTACTTTCTTAAATATTCACTTTGAATGTTGTCGTCACCAATAAATTAATTATTGCACGACCAATCAATCCAATCAAGCGCCTAACCCATATTCATAGTCCAAATTTGGTAGTACGCAATATACGTAGGTTTCGTAAAGTCCTGTTAAGACGTAAATTTAACGGAAGATTAAAACACAAAACCACGATCAGATCTCTTATCATAAGCTTATCTATTGAATCACAGGGCTTCTAAATATATTCTACAAGCAGCGAAGAAATTCTTCAGATTAGCACAAACTTACGTTAAAGACAACGATCCTCGTCTTATTTACAAGGAAGTTTCCGTAGCAACTTAAATGGGGATCCGCGACCATTTTCTTAGTCTAATTTACATCAGGCACAAGCCATAATTAGTTTATCAATGTACAATGGGATTATTTTGAGTGTTGCGACAACCTTCGTGTCATGATTGAAGACCTGACAGGAATTTGGTGGCACAGAGACTCAGCTGACAGGAATTTGGTGGCACAGAGACTCAGCTGATAGGAATTGGGTGGCAGTAGAGACTCAGCTGACTGGAATTGGGTGGCGGAAGTGACTCAGCTGACAGAAATTGGGTGGCAGCAGAGACTCAGCTGACTGGAATTGGGTGGCAGCAGAGACTCAGCTGACAGAAATTGGGTGGCAGCAGAGACTCAGCTGACAGGAATTGGGTGGCAGCAGAGACTCAGCTGACAATAAACGCAGATTATTGGCAGTTAATTTAGAATAACCAAAATATATCCAGCGTCGTTGCCCGGATAAATGCACCTAATGAAAAGGGTATATACACTTGTCGCGGATAGATGCTGAGGAGTCAGAAGTTGCAGCGTAAATGAAAACATGAAGTAAGTATATTAGTAAATAAATAGAACAAAACTTCAATGAGACAATTAATAAGTGAAATACGCAATAAACTTCAAGAGAAACAGAGTCGGAAGTTGTGCATGAACATTACAAGAGCTTCCTTGGTTATCAAGTCATTTGCATGTTCTGGTCAACCAGGCCAGTTTTTAGATCTTCACAAGTTAAGTCAGGAAAGGAAACTGCCACTGGAAAAAACTTGGCCTATCTTAATACCATACTATATTATGTTATTCTATACTATATTATAATATACCTTACTATTAATACGATACGATACTATTCTATACAGATTATATCTATAATATACCATACCGCAGGACAGTCGGGCGAGGCGCTGACAGGCTGCGTGGTGCGGCGAGGGCGCGAGTGCGCCTCCCGGCTCGGCAAAATGCTGAACAAAGACAAGTAAAAAAAGCGTGTACTTCAATCTACAATTTGTTGATGGATCTTATTAGATGCTTAACAAGAATAATTCACGAGAATATTGCCCTGCCGCAGAAATTTGGTTTTGCTCATGAAACTTCCAAGTAAAGAGCTCTAAGTTTAAGGAAAAGCATTAGGAAAAATTACATAACAAGTAAAGTTTATCGGACAAAATGATGAGTTCCTCGTGACGTTCCATCAATAAACGACCAACTACATTTATTTAGTTACCTCGCTATTCATATAAGTATTTCGCTCAAGTTTCGGCTAGCAACGATCACGAGCAACTTAAATAATAAGCGAGCCATGCTAAAAAATGTCGACTAAAACTATGAACTAACGTGTCTCTGCACTTCTGGTTGATGTCTCTGGCTGCCCCCGCCTTGCAGACGGTCAGTGCAGACTCGAAGACGTTGCTCGGCGACGCGTGCGGCAGCGGCGATCTTTTATCGCGTTTGATGAGGAGACCTCGCCTGACCGACGGTGACGACGATGGTGATGAAAACGACGCAGAAGACAATGATGACGTTGAAAACGACGGAGGAGACAATGATGACGTTGAAAACGACGCAGAAGGCAATGATGACGTTGAAAACGACGGAGGAGACAATGATGACGTTGAAAACGACGGAGGAGACGACGATGGCAAGGCAGGAGGAAACACTGGAACTGCAGAAAACGCAGGCAGCTGATCGTGAAGGATCTCGCTATGAGGAGAGGCATCGAGGGATTTTCCTCTAGATTGCTGACCGTCCGAAAAGTGATCAGCTTTTTGGCCATGAGACGAAGATTCAGGTACCTGCAGAACCTCTGCTTCCTCTCGTGATAATTTGGAGGAGGGTAACGTTTTATCGTCGGGGACTTTGATGAGCCGTTGATGTGTGGCAACGCCTCCAGACTTGGAATGAGGGAAATGCAACACCTTTGCCTGATCCTGGTCCACGTGAACGGTCGCACTGAACATTAGAAATAAAGATAATTAATTAAAGGCTAGGTTGAAGCAACACTCGAGTCTCAAACAAGCTTTAGTGCCAGAGCACCGTGCCATTTCTGGCCAGCATAACTATTTCGACGAGTGATTTGGTTGTGAGTGATTCAAAGTTTACAATTCTAACACAACCATTGTGTGCTTATTTTTCTGAATAAAGTATTTTGATGAATCTTACTTTCCTAACTTGACAACGAGCTACAAACAGATAAAACATGCCCATAAAAAACTCCACTGACCCGGAAAAGACGTTAATGGTGACATTGCCATTAACAGAGATATAAGGTGGGGAGTGTGAGTTGACATGAGTGGGCTTGAGTGCCCAGCCTTGTGGCCACTGTCCACTAGACCACAAAGACACCACAGGCTGGCCGATGGACAGCGGTCGTCTGCCTCTGTCGAAGCCACCGACGGGAGGCACAACGGGAGCGCCAATGGCTGGCCGTGGTGCTTGATTTGTGCGCCAGGTGGACCTAGCAGCGTTTATGTAATTTTCAATGCATTTTCTATCATCTTTCTGAACATTTACATTTATTTTCTCAGTAGCAAAATAAAAACATGTTTTACGCATCGTAAAGATCTATATTAGATCCAAAATAGATCTAAATTATATTATACTAAATCGAAAATTCACTTAATAAACACGGAATTACTTGTGGTGTTTGTGGTGTATGGGCAGCGGTGTGACAGGCGAGTCTTTGGACAGCGGAGGACCGTAAGTTTTGCGGAAGAGTTCCGCGTACTCCGAGTTCAGGGTGACGTAGCCTGCTCCCTCTAGCGTCTCACACACGCCCTTCAGGAGTGGCAAATTCAGCGAGAAGTATTGGTCTGAGCGACAGATGTCCGGTTGCTGCACGATAAAAAACACACAATTTTACCTATCGCGATAACATCATAACGAAAAAATTACGGGCTCCGTCATGCACGCACTTGGTTTAAAAACTTACACTATATAACAATTATTTTCTATTAATTGTGCTGCTGACTACATTATACAGTAATCCCAGCTATAATCTTACCTAAATATTAATTATGGCTTCTAATCGTTCATGGGCGATCTGAAAAATGATTCTTCTGTTCCGTCTACCGATCTGATCTGGTAGCATTTTACCGTCAGCGAGCGTAGGGGCGTATGTATTAACAATAATATTATCTTAATAATAATAATAATAACAATAGGGATTTCAGCGTTTATAAAGGCGTAGGCCTGTCGTTGATTCCCAACATTGCAGAATATCCACAGCTTGTTGCGAGCTTGAACTCGCAACTCACTGCTTCAAATTTTCATTGCTTAACCACCCGGCCTTCTTACCGATTCTGACCAGAAACTGGCGCACAGAGCTGGGATCGAACTCGCGCCTCTCTGTTCCAATCCTGGTACTCTGAACTGTAACAACTAGGCCACCATGCCCATACCTAGTGGTTAATCCTAATTACGCTCAATAATACTGTAATTTTTAATAATCCATAGAGGTTTTTAAACACGATTTTCCTATTCACGTACGGATCCAATCTGGTAGCATTTGCCGTCAGCGAGGGCTGGGGCGAAGGGCAGCTCCGAGTGACGCCTGTTGAGGTTGAGGCCGTCGCAAGGGTCAGGCAGGCAGTGCGGTGGTCGGCCGAACGAAGAGAACCAAAAAGCGAAAGATGAAAACGTTCCATGACTATATGTATAATTTTCTAATCATGAAAAAACGACATTAAACGAATGATTTATTTATTGCTCGGCCCACGGTCACAATAACCGTCGTAGATTCAAACGTATATGACGTCATTAAACTAAAGTTACAGCTGCAGATAATGACTTGCATACGGTACTTATTATCAATTAAACTCATAATTAACGACACAAAAAATATAACTCAGTACTCACTGCAGTGAGTGACAATGAGAACATTTTCTCGTCGACGAAAATGTGAAGTCACGGACGGACAGACAGACGGACGGACGGACGGACGGACATGACGAGCAAAATAGGGCTTTTTCCATAAATGAGAAAATGCGCTAAAAAGACTGTACGTTACTTAATCATGGACCAGATGAAATTTTATGACCATGATCACCTTGCCGGGCGGGCACCGCGGGATCTCAGTGAGCAGCGGATGGCACTCCTCGTCATCATCATCCACCTCGAGCTCATAGAAGCCATCCTCGCACCCACACACCGGCGTGCCGAACCCAGACGAGAACAGCTGACGTCCAGCTGAAGGTATAATGTACGTATATATCAATATCATATCATACGAACTTATATGGTATGATATCATACCATATATATGTATCATAAATATTATACCATATGAACTCTAGTTAGCGAGCGAATAATTATCGTTTTAACTGCATTAATAGTTAAGGTTATTAGGATCTTACTTATTGAACTGTCGTCCTGCTGCTAGTATCAACATAGATTTTCTAGCAACTAGCGAGCAGCCGCTAATTGTTTTAATTATACGAATAGTCCAGGTTGTTGAGATATAAGATACGTTATGCCATGACAGTTTTGATGGCAGCTAACTATAGCACAGATAACATAAATCAGTTTGAAAATTAGGAATAAGAAAAATTTAATCGTCAGGAATATAAGGAACTTCCGTTGACCTCAACAGCCATTGACAGCCTGCATTATATTCACTGATTAACGTAGTAACGAATCTCAGTAAGAACACGAAAGATTCAACTACATAATTATTGAAGGTATTCAATATGACATGATAAACATTTGTGGAGAATTTGTCACAATTTTTTACAATTCATGTTCAAGTTGATGACCTTAATTGCTACGTTCAAGAACTTAAAGTTCATTGTTCGTCCTCACGATTTTAGGATCTCTCAAACTGATCAGGGCGTATTCGGCGAGGTCTACAACTGATCAAGTTAATAATAGTTACATAATCAAATTAATTGATCAAGTTAATAATAGCTACATAATAATTCTGAACATAAGTAACTTAATATAAAAGTTAAGAAGATAACTTAATTATGGTTTCAGGAGCATATGCTCAGTCTTAAAATGCCTAGCAAATTACGGGCCAGGCAATAAGTCTAGCAGCTATCTCAAATTATTCTCAATCAATCGTTAGTTATGGAAAGATCGGGTTCCAAAGGCCAGATCCCTTGTGAATCAAGTCACGAAAAATTCAAGAATCGGCAACAGGCCATGGGCCTATTTCTTCAGCGCCGACACTTCTATTCTATTCTATTCTATTCTATTCTAAGTTGACGACTTTGCTACGTTCAACAACTTCAAGTTTATAATAGTTCAGGATCAGGTCCACAACTGATCAAGTTAATAATAGTTACATAATCAAATTAACTGATCAAATTAATAATAGTCACTTAATAATTCTGAACATAAGTAACTTAATATACACTTCAAAAGAAAACTTACAGGGGCACAGGCCGATCTCGTGAGGGTCGTGGCACTTCTGGTCATTGAAGAGGAACACGCGGTCAGGGGAACACAGCCGCTCCCCGCAGAAGCCCTGTAAAAAAATCATGCAATTAGTTCCCCTAACAAAATGAACAGTAGCCCCAGCTTCTGGTAATCCAAATCAGAAGCTGCCGCGTCTGCATGTAAATTTTCACTGGGTCACGCTATTTATAGTGTGTTGATTCAATAACTGTTCACTTAATAATTAGTTTAGTTCAATAATTGTTCACTCGGAAATGTATTTTGTGTAGTAAACACTTGGCATGATTTGCAATAGAAAACAATGAGAAAATATTCTGTATTTTTCATTGTACAAAATCAAATAAATGTATAATATTTTGTTAAAAATTAATTTAAAAAATGTCTTGAAATTCTTTGCGCCATCAATTCTGAGAGTGACCAAAATTGATAATTTCAGTCATATTTTTTCATAATAATGCACACCTTGCATTACATTACAAATTCATACCAAACATTTCAGTAAAAAACATTACAGACGTCATTACGGTAACCGTAAATAATCACAGTGATTATGGTAAAATATTTTCAGCCGTTCGAGTTGCATGAGATTCCATGTAACATTTATACAAGACCATCGAATTTTCTACAAATCAATTGTCTAAAATTCAATTGCCAAACATCAAATCAATTTTCAGGGGTAAAATTAAAGTGAAATAAAAAATAAAAATATCTTGTATCTTTACGTAGAGAGCTAAGCTCAATGATTAATCAGCTCCCCTCTGCATCATAATTGCAACCATAATTGCAAGCAAGCCAGTTCCAGCAAAAAATAAAAAAAATAAATTCGGCAACTTATGATTTCCAAACTAAAACACATTTCCTTTCTTCGATACTCGTAAATATTACATTCAGCTGTAACTTAGTCCCGTACGTTATGAGATTAATCGTAATAAAAACACAAGTTCATAAATTGAAATCGTCAAGAGAATTTCAACGTAGAACCTCGTGAACTGTATAATAACGTGCAGTTTAAAACAGCGCAGCCAAGCGTGTACATAGGATAGAATAGAAGTGTCGGCTTTGAAGAAATAGGCCCATGGCCTGTTATAAATAAAAAATACGAATACATAAAAAATACGAATAATAGATTTTATGAACTACACATTAATAGTTGTCTTATTATAAATTATCATCAAATATACAAATGAAGGCCTCTACAGAACCTTCTTCGTGGTGGGGTTGACGAGGACGATCTCGGTTTTGTCGCAGGGACCGCGACTGAGCACCTCGTAGCAGTCATCATCGTCGTCTTGGTTACCAGTCTTGTCACCGTCGTCGTTATCGTCGTCTTCCGAAATCCGCACTTCGTTGCGGGAACAACCATCTATTCTCACCGCATCCGTTCCTGAAAACAATGCGGACGTAAAATTTGATCATAATGCAAATTTGACTTCTTAGAACACAATCCAAGTACCATGAGCAAACGTGCCTACTCTTGCCTTGTTATCCCTACTTCAGTATCTACCTTGCTTAATTATTTCCATCATGCTCTCTACGAAATGATCAACTGAGTGGATCGCTTTAGCTAGCACGGCGAGTTAAATTAGAAATGAATAAAGAACGCCCTCAAGAACCTGCATAGAATGAGCGCAGGATGGGTATGGGCACATCCAACACCGCCTGCCGCCGTACGCGTTGCAGGAGGGCGCTGGAGTTGCGGACGTCGATGTCTGGCTTAGATCCCAACGCCCGGGCAGCGCGAAATTCGTCAACATATTCGTAATCGTCAACGTATTCAGGTTCTGGTAGAATCTTCCGTATAAGCGCATCTATTTCTTGACTGCTCAAGTTTTGGCCGGCCTCGGTGTCTTTAAGTCTGTGGTCTAGAGGTAGTGACGCATTCCTCATCAGCTGTACAATTTGATTGCGTTGTTCATCACCAGCTTTGCCTTGTGGAAATAGGATGCTGGGATCAGCGAGTAGTGACAGAACGTTAGAAAAAGAAAGCTGGTCCCGGGGAATGGTCAGGGTCAGGGTTTTGTTGCCGTTGTAATTTGACGGGTAAATTAAATAGTTCTGCTGGAAAGCGGTGACAGACGTCTGCAAGTTGTCGAACCAGGTCGTGAACGGGTCAGGTTCGCCGGCCGGCTCCGTGATTTCCAGGATTATGGTTGTCGGCTGAGAAATGGAAATGAATAAACAGATAACTCGTACGAGAACAATTTGAACAATTTTTTACATCAAACTAGTGGAATACAGTTAATTGGAAAATGTTCTGCATATAAAAAAATTATATAAATATCAATAACACGAAGATTATAATCATAAATCACACATAATAGCACGAAATACCAACAGATTAGCCGTGTAAGCCTTATATCCTAAGTCCTAATCCAGTAATTCCCGTAATACCTAATCCAGTTAATAATAATAAAGATTTCAAACCGTGTTTTTAAATAGAAGAAAATATTTTCAACATAGAAGATAGGATTTACTCTCGATTCAAATACGGACAAAATTATTTTAAGTCTTTCAAAATATAGTAAATTAACCATTTGCCAAATCACGTTTCAATTTTTGATCCTATGCTATTCTCGCCTTCCTCCTATCAGATCCTATTCTCCGTAGAAGAATAAAATTTCAGGTGCAAGTAACATCCCGACATCATAAGTATGAAGTATCGTGAATACGTGACCAAACAGCTTCTATGTATTTGTGGTCCAGAGTTTGAAACACAAATTTTGACAAATATATCTAGCTTACCATAATAGTTACATCCATATTATGCTTTCACCTAATTGAAAGAATTGCAAAAATGTGATCAACTCTCCGTTCTGACGAATGGATTTCTTTTTTCACATACCTAGCAGCATAAATTTTTTCGGTATCGCCTACCTTCGAAAGAATATAGTCAGGAATCGTTAAAGCACTTTGTTTCGACAAACGACATTAATCCGTAATGTACTCATCAAATTCTCTCTGGTGTTTACGATACACACTGCCACAAATAAAGACGAAAAATATATCGTAAATATTCCATCACATTTCTTGATTTAGAATGGATGTCGTGAATGCCAATACTAGGCCAAGGCTACAAGGCTATTGAAATTGCGATTTCATTCAGGTTTCCATGTTCGAACAAAAACCTTTGTACCGGAGTTGCCCAATTTGATGTATCTGCACTTCGATAAGCCACGTTCAATATCTACCACTACAATGTACACACATATGACGTACAAAACAACATGGTGCCTCCGAAAACAACTTGGAGCCACTCAAAACAACATGGCGCCTCCTAAAACAACATGGCGCCTCCTACCCAACGTCTCGGTCTTAAATTCTTCCTCATCTTCTTGTGAACGAACACCAAGGACTCACGATCTCGCGGTTGAGGACCCCGGTGAGGACGAGAGCGCACTCTGTAACCTGGAAGAGGGCCAGAATGAGACCCACGATGCTCACGATCACCATCCCCCAGTGGATCATTGCGCCTACTGGAGCCCGAGGATCGTCGCAGGTGATGTCAGTGCTGATGGTGAAGTCACTGTCTTTGGGTTCAATCTGCAACAGATGACATGAGAGTCTGTAATGATGAGGTTGGCAAAATATAACAGGATTTTGAAAGTTATCAGTGAGTATTTCGAGTCATGGGTGGAACTTTACATTGGAATAAATTTTCTTTAGTATAGTGACCTAAAATAGAAAAATTTTGCATGGTGATTTTCCGTGCTCAGACATGATATACTGTATGTATATAATTGACGTACTTTTAGATTGGAATGCAGGACGTCATCAATTGGGAGACATTTTAGAAATCTATAAACATATATGAAATTCGAACGAATATATTCAAAGAAATCAAAAATGTCGAAGTGAATTTAGGCCATAGCAACATTAGGTACATTTTCAAAGCCTCATGCATGTCTGAAATTAGAATTTTCGTTAACAGAAAACTGTAGAGACAAGGTGCAATATCTGGCACGGCCTCCTCCAGTTTAGGTGCAAAGCTGCAGCTAAGTCTGCATCTGCCGAAGAGCATGCATGCATGATGATTTTTATATCACCGTGATGCGCATGTTGAGCGAGGAATGGGGCCTTCAAGATTACTCTACCAAATATTTACTCATTGTTCAATTTAAAATGATGAGTAAATTGAAGAAATGCACATAATGTATAATTTGACAGCGTTATAGCACTGATTCAAATCAGCAGTATCGAAAATTTCGAAATAGTTCGAAAGTATCGAAATAGTTCGAAAGTATCGAAATAGTTCGAAAGTATCGAAATAGTTCGAAAAATTTTGAAAGTTTATAGTAAATTTCAGATATAAAAGTGAAATTCATGTAATAAACAAGCCAGACACCAAATAAGACACCTAGACAAGCGCGCAATTAGAAGCAGGGATGCGAGCGGACAATCGAGCCGTCAGAGGCGGGAGTGAGCGCGGGACGTTAACCCTGCGGATGCACAAGTCACTGTAAACATCCAGCTAATAACCACTGGAATTACTAGAATCTCTCACACTGTTCAGGAATATACCATTAATTTTCATTATAAAATATCATTTTCTTTGATAATGAAATTTGGGATATTATTATTAGCAATGAAAGTAGTAAACAATGCTGGGTAAAAACAGGCAAATAAAGAGTATTTTTCACAGTAAAATGATCCACACGCATAACTCTGGTTTCCTGAATAAACTTTCGCTTCCCGGAGAAATGCGAGTCACAATTTTGTGTGGTGCCAGTCATGGCATTGGACGGAAAATAAGAGGATAATATGCACGAAAGTAGACATATTGCACAATCGTTCGTTATGCCCCTTTTGCAGACGAATGTCTCCATAAGTTCTTAAGTTTCTTAACAAACCAATCCTTTCACTTTGCGACAAAATGATGAACGTACGGAAACACAGGCATTTCATGAGTCCGTTTTTTTAGCGGGATACGAATTATCTTATGCAGCTGGTATCAAAAGTGTACAACGAAGCGTCTGCTCTTACAATATTCCTAATAATCTTTATGTTTATGGTTCGTATGGACTTTACCAACGAGGTTAATGCAATCATAAGAACTTTATCCTTATTAACTATTATAATGACAGGCAAATAAAAATGTTTTAATGATAATGAGGATGTACGATGACATGAAAGAAAACTTAAAACGATGCACGCAAGTGAGGTCACTCGCTAAAAACTTATTGAATTTTTGCAGGTACCTTGAAATCTCAGCCTAAGTGTCACGGATCACAAGAACTCGTGGCTCCTATTGTGTTGAATTAATTCTGTTTAAAGTACAACAAATTTTCATCAATATTATTCGCTTTAGAGATTCTTTTGTTCGTACTCTAAAAATTCATAACACCAAAATCGGGTCAAATTAGGTTTATAACCCAGAAGTGAAATTTCATTCTAGTGAACCCAAGTCGATGAGGTACACCGTGGTAGAAAAGTTTCTCGCAGCTCCTCAACAAGCTAACTCGGTGAAGCATCAATCCGCGTCAAGCGTTCATGAGGTGAATAACACGAGGGTTCGGTAGTATCGCTACTTGTTTGCGTAAGATAAAAAGGCTGCCCCTGATCAGAGAGAAAGCTGTTAACGGATTCGTTAAGACGGAGGAACGTTAAGTAGTCTACCACTTGATGAACGATGAACAGCCGTTAATTAAGCTTGTTCTTTGCTCCGTATACGGAAAGCAAGATTCAGGCAAGGTGCTAGAAATTATGCTAGTTTCTCCAAAATGATTGAAGAACAATGCACAGAGTCCAATAAATACAAAGTACACTCGAATGAAAAAACGTGAAGAATTGTGATGGCGTTCACAAAATTAAATATAGAACGGACCGAATTAAATAATACGGAATGGCATAATCAGGATATAGGGTAATAACTTAATAAGGTAATAACTCAATATATACTGTATTAGGTACTAACTCAATACTTCTTCAATTTATGGAGGCTATGCTAATTTTTTTAGCAACTCGTAAATAAACATCATCACATTTTTTCCATGTCGAGATATTGGGTATGCCGAGTATATGCCCGATCTGTTCACTGCCACGCTTATACGACAGTTGCAAGCGAAGGTTTACAAGAGTTTACTAACGTTTACAAGCGTTTACAAGGGTTATTAAGCGTTTACCAGCGTTCACAAGTGTTTACAAGCGTTTACATGGGTGTAAAAGGGTTTACAAGCGTTCACTAGCTTTCAGTTACCAGCTTTCAACAATTCAGTTGCAAGCTAACATATGGAGATTGAGGCAATCGTAGTTTCTACCTTCCTGCTCTCATCCAATATTAGCAGTTCCTATTTTCGTTTATATTCTGGAATGATTGTATGTGCATAGTACTCGGTTTGCCAATCGATCGATTATTTTGCCAATTTACCTCTAACTAAAGTTACACATATCATTTTCCGATGACATGACACTTTTTCCGATTCTGTCTACATGTTGGTCATGAAAATGTTTCTGTAGTTGTGTTGTTTCCCTCCAGATTGATGTGTTACTTTTGAATGAAGCCCTCTATAAGGGTCCTCAGGATGTTTTCACTATTCTGAATTCTCTTTTCACTATTCTGAACTCTTTTTTCACTATTCGGATTTCTCATGTGAAATCATGATTTTGTATGATTTTCTCTTTTCGGTCGGGCCATCAGCATTACATCACCGCGTAAATATCGACCACTTTGGACATGCGGTTGAAAATTTTAATAGCATGATTTTGGTTGTGCATGTGAGCAAGAGTGAATAATTCTTCTATATATGTACGTACTTTGTATGAACATGTATATCCATGAATGCTGACATATCAGGGTAGAGTAGGAGTTGGTGCAATTATGGTTGAATAAATATAATTTAAAGCATATAAATATAATTAGTAAATGCAAAAAGAGGATACTTGTAAATATTTTTAGCAAACCTTTTGTAAGCATAGTTTTTAATTGTCTATTTTTTATGGGCTCCAATGGTTTACTTGTTCATCAGACCTTTAGAGTGTAAAAGCTAGTCAACGACGTATCAAATAGTTTCATGCTAACTCAGTTGTTCGTATCCCGCGTCAAAACTGCCCATAATATTTCGGTGCGTTAATTTATGCCTTTTTATTACTTGTTTATAGTTTTGATGATCACTTGTTATATTTGAATATTATAAGCATACATTGAACTTTATAGGGTTAATATATTTATGTTTGTTCTTACAGATACAATTTTTCATTCAATAAAAGGAAATTTGTTGTTGAAACTGTGGTTATACTAAAACCTGAACACGGACTTACGTCAACATAAACTCAAAAACGGAAAGCGTTTTACAATACTAATCTAAAAATTATAAAAAATTCTCTTATTAAACAGCCTAGGCAGGGACACAATCATCGTTTCTCCGGAGGCTGTTACGGGCATGCAGCTAAGCACCGATGGGATTATAGTTCTGGGCGAAAAGATAAATTCCATCATTTTGTTTGCTCTTCGACAATGACAACAATAAATAACCGGGCTGGACAGTAATTCATTCATTGTATTTATGCCGATTTCGAGATCTTATGTATTTTGCTATGGTTCTAATACAGAATAATACAATATCTGCTCAAAATAGGCAACACTCAGAACTGTGTATTATAAAAAAAAAGATAAATCTCACGGAAGAATAATGAGAAAGTGTTGAACCGCAGCCTTGATACTGCTGTTCTCTACGTCACTTAATTCATCAGACGCATGCGCAGCAGACGCATCTCATCATCCGTGGATGAGAGCGTCGAAGGATTCATTTACGACGCTTCTATATCAGGTTTATATTAATATTATATCAGGTATATATTAATATAACAATGATTGTGGTTTGTGAGTTGTGGTCCACTGTTAATGTTGGCTCATCACAAAGTCTTTTCCCAATATGCAGAGATGCTTATGTAATTCAATTATGTACATAACCACAATGTAAAGAATGAAACTTCGAGTATATATAAAAAATAAATGCCTATAATACACAATAAATGATCATAAATCATCTTATTCATTGTTATCTCAGCGTTATCTATTTCAGATAACCTGATTGAAAATATGGTTGTACTCTAAAATTTATTCTGCAAAAGTCCATGCATGCATCCACTTTTAAATCAACTTCCAATTTTGTCAACTAAATTTTTAGAAAAATATATGGCAGCGCATCGAAAAGCTAATCGTTGCACATAGAGATAATATTTCACCTTTGATAAATTGCCGCGGGAGAATATGAAAATAAACGCGTTTAAAAACAGACTTGCCAGTACTGCAACTTTACAACTTTAGACGTCTCGAACAAATTTACGGCTGGACTCGCGGCCGGTCTCACGGTCAATCATAATTCGGTCAATCACGGTCAAAATTCATAATTTTATGGTTAAACGTCAGTTTTAAATAGATCGAGTCATAAATAAGTTTTTAGGCCTGGAAGATATTCAAGAACGTTAAAAGAATCGGCGACAGGCCCGATTTGGCCAAATATTAACTGTCGAGACTTTTATTTAAATTATTTATTCTCACAGGCGCGCGAGCTGCGGTCACGTCACGTGGTCATGATTCTTTC